TGACTACATTAACGACACCTCAATTGCGCGGGTCTAACGACGCCGATCCCAGTTTGCAATTCTATGGCGGTATTCAGTGTAATATTGCATTATTACTAATTTTCTTGGCAGGCGGTTCTGCTTGAAGCTGGTGTCTGCAGGGATGAGCCTCTCATTAACATTTCATTCGATTCCTTAAGAGGAGGTTTAAGTGACTCACTTACTTGTTTGCCGTTCATTCTTTCCTGAACGCAACACCTAATCCCAATATCCATGTCTTCAAACTCTTCTTAGTTGTTAAACGAATACGCCATACAAATTTTAGGACTCACCGACGCAAAAGCAAAACATTTCCAGTAATGATTCTATATCTTCCTCCTGGCATCTTCGTCGTTGGCATTATTCCAGTAAGTGTGAAGGCTATTGATTGTATAAGGGTTAAGAGTTTCCCCTCTGAACTTGTGGCTTATGCTGATTGTCGAAAAGCAAAGCTCATTTACATTTAAAGCGAGTCCGTTATAGCCTGGCATCCATATGATTTTCATTTTGGAGTAAATCTATACCAATGATGAAAAGATTTCCACTCTTGCGCCTTTGGAGTACAAAATTTGGCATACCGTAAGCTAGGCCTGTGGTATAGTAGGGTAATTTTCGCAACAGCTGGATTTCTGTTCCAGAACAATACGGCTAAGGGCAGTAACTGCCGGAAAAGGTAAAAAAACACTTCAAAACGTTTTTTCTGAAACCTGCCTACGTGGCAGTGACTCCACCCAGCCATACTACAGTGACCTGAAATCATATGCCTTGTCTCGATGTATTTTTCTCGTCAGAAGACCCCGACGTCAACCTATTCCTCAAGCTTCGAACTGCTGAAGTCTAGCGACATAAGGAATTCGTTGTCACGCTGTAGTTTCAATCGCAGTCAAAAGCGGAAGGAGTGCTGATTACCGAATGTCGCAATTTCTGTGAATTTTCAACAGGCGGAATTTGAAGAACGTGGACTTTGACTATTCGGTACTCTTCGTTCATCATCATCACCTAGCTGCGCCCCTAGTTTGGAAACAATTTGATTATATTAAAAATCTTTATTTTGTTTGGAGTCTCAGAGGTCGGTCGACGTTTTGGTAGTTCACAGCGAAAACCATATAATCACATAACGAGCTGCTTATTATTTTTCCTAAAACTACGGACAAGTAAACTCACTCCCTAGCGTCTGTGTGGGTTGTAAGCATGCTTGTATGTATGTATGGGTTTGTGACTATTTTTACTTACGTTGGCGAAAAACAGAAACGCAAAAGCTAAAAATATTTCCGTTAATGTTGTGATGCTGCGGGCAAACGATTTAAGACTATCACATCGAGTTTTGTAGCTCACCATTGTCATTGGATTTTATGATTATCTTGATGCCAATTTAATTGGCCATGCTTGGAGCGCTACGAACGCACACACACAGCCGCTTACGCCACAACTCTGACATCTCTCTATGACATCCTTGGGAATTTCTACTCAAGTGGGAATTGCTTTGCTTTATTCTCTTTTCATGCCCTTGGTTTTAGCATTTTCGCTAAAAGTAGTTTTTTTCCAACTTTAATGATTGATATTTTTACTTTCGAATTGGAGTCAATTGCCTGGGGCTCTGTTATTCTGAAGCAGATTTAGTGTATGAAAATTCCATTAGCCTCAATTGTTGGATAGTCTCTTTGATTGAAATTGTGCTAAAGCTGAATGAAGCAAGTATGGGAAAGTTGGATAAATAGTGAAAATATTTGGAAGCCTCTGCAACAAAAATGGAAACGCAATTTGTTAAATTTTAAAATTAAACAAAGAGTATTTCTTATTTGTTGGTGTAGGATTCGCTCATATCTTATAGCCGAGTCAACAATGGCATTCAAATTGCTTCTTATTTTCGCCATTCGGCACCAATTGGAAATAAAAGGTAGAGCCAAGCTCTCCTTCACTTAAGCAATGGTATAGAAGCTTACTTATTTCATTTCTTTCGCCGACGAGTAGCACACCAGGTACTTTCAGCGATGCGAAACATGGCCCATCTAGCTGAACTCGCGGTATTAAGTCAATGTCGTCGTCCACGCTTCTGTACTAAGAAAGCAGAACCCACTATTGTATAATCCTATATATGGAGCTCTATAGCTCTTATTATTCTCTCCAGCATTAAGTTAAAGCAGTCATAAAGAGCATCCTTGTATGAAAGCTCATGTAGTATCGAAAGGCTCAGAGAGGTGTTCTAATATTTGCGACCAGCTCCTTTTCCCCCCTTCGACGAAGAGATTGTAGGTGTCGATCATTTTTCAACAGTTCCAAAATTTGTCATATGAGGTATATACATACACGTATATAGATGAGATATTATCAATTGTAGATTTACCATGTCTGAATCCACACACTAATAATGTCCAATTAGTTTATTGATGGTGAGCTTTAGTCCTTCACACGGTACTCTCGATAGAGTGAACTATTCGCATAATACTCGAACTTGGCGCAGATTATGGGGTATTCCTTTCTAAACGGCTCAGCCGATAAGTCATCGGTTCCCTTTGATTTTATTTTAAGGCGGGCACTTTCATTCATACTACTTCATAGAAGGGTAATGGAACGTGCGGTCTTCCATGATTGGGGAATCGGTTTCACCATCTCCGATTGTTATACCTTTAGTGACATTCGCCAGACCACAAAAGTGTTCTCTCCGTTGCACTAGATGCTTTGATCTTAAAAACTTGCCGCATTTTTTCATAGACTTTTCGGGCAACAACCCTATCGGCCAGTTTATCAAGCTCTTCATATGCACACATTTCGGCTTATTTCCTTGGACATTGAAAGTATGTCTTCCAACCATCACATTATGTTCGATTTGGTTGCGAAATTTCCGATATGATAAGAACCATTATCGTTTAATTTGTGGTGTGCGTCTGAACTGTGCGAGCTGCCGATGGATTTACATGAGGAACTTTTCTTTCAATCAGACACACACTCAGAGGACCTTACATTCCATGCCGAGAGGCGACAGCAGTTAGTGAAAATTCAATTTCTATATTTTTGAAAATTATTCAATCCAAGGCACCAAGGCCTTCCGTATAGGAGTGCGCAGTGCTAACCACTCCGCGATTGCGACTATACAAACGGTCAAATTTCCTTATGCCGCAATTTGGAACAACTGACCAACCTCAACTCGTTTGGAATCTGAATTTCCCCCCAACTGCTGTACCAAAGATACCTGCTTTGCTCACTCAGGCACTCTGGCATTTAACAATCGTGATGAGACGTGGGCGCAAATCAGTGATAAGTTAAAAAACTTCACAACTCGCCACACTTTCTTCTGTCTTTGTTCCGTCCATTGCACTTGCCGTTGTTGTTGAAGGCACAAAAAAAACTTCCCAAATAGTTTCTGGAAAATGTTGAGGGAGTGACAGTCGTTGAACTTACCTTACCGGGAGTAAATTCTTGTACCGCTATCCCGCAGAGTATCCACCGCACTTTTTGGACGGCGTTAAAACCAGCCTTCAGTCTTATGAGAGCATTCATCAGGAGAACAGCAACAGCTGCTTAACCAATGAATCGAACATTCTAGATGGACGCCCACAATTCGTGGTCCTTAAACCATTTTCAGGAATTATCATTGTTATTGGCTTGTTTGTATGATTTTTATTAGCCAGTCGCACGTTCTTCCCCAGGGAATATCGACTTCTCACTTTAGTTCGCCACCAAACGAACTTTTGTAGATTGCCTAGATTAAGTCGTATACTGCCAGCTGAATAGCAGTCTACAATTACGTGGACTCCTACACATGACCCTTTCCAGTTTTTACGAATTCAAAAAAAAATATAGCTTATTAAAAAAGGGAAAAACAAATTTTGTCCAAAATATTTCATCTTTATTTTAAAATATATTACAAGTATAAATTGTTGAGTTTGATATCAAAATTTAACAGTTAATATCAGCATTTGATATCAGCAAAATATATATGTATTACCTTGTTCAATAAAAATTGGAGTAAACATTTAAAGTATATTCCCACCAAAAAAATAACTGTTTGTTTTTAATAATAATTGAAATAATTTTATAAAATTTATTATACAAAAATTATATTTAATATTTATATATATGTTATATATATATACTTAAGATATATATCTTAAGTTTCAATAAAAATAATGTGTGATTTTGTTGTGTTCAATTTATTTGGCTTCAATGTGTATGTTTTGTTCTTGTTATATTTTATTTTGCACGTAAGTACTTACATATTATATATAAGATGTATATAAATAATCTGCATAACATTGTATTCACGTGTACGGGTATATAACTTTTACTATTAATGCATGTAGTATGTATGTATATATGTAAAAGTATATAAATACCGTTAAATACCTTTTTTGATTTTTTTTTTTGTTATGCTACGCCTGTCATTGCGACGATGATTTTAGTGCTTTTACTATGCTATATTGTTTTGTTGCTGTAATTTTGTACATGTGTTTGCTGATTTGATTATGTTGTTTTCATTATTTACATAAACATTTTTAATAAAGCTAATAAATAACAAAAGCGTCTCAATGCTTCTTGATAAGCAAATAATTATTATTGCTACACACACAACTACAATTACATCAATTATTATAGATTTTGTGTTTAGTAAAAAATAATTATTTATTTAAAAATAATTGATTTTGGTTAAAAAAAAATTACGATTACATGCACTATGGACTTATATGTATGCGCTTATATGAAATATCAGTACAAAAATCGGAAGTAGCGCTACTTATCAACTAGGTTTTTGGGTTTGAGTCACGGTTATTAAAGTATTTACACTATTGATTGCCGACAACTAATGGCATTCGATAGTTACATTTACAAGTATTGTGTAAAATTAATTAAATATAATTTAAATATCATTGTAATTGCTTTTTGTTGTTGTTACAGTTCATTATGCTTTCCATGTATTTATAAAATATTAATAATAACAAAAAATTACAAAGTAAATGACTTTTTACCTTTCTCTTTTTTTTTTGTTTTTATTAGCCCCTTTTAAAATAACAAAGCGCTTTTGTTTGTTAATTTGTTAATTCATTTCACATTTACCAACAGCAACTTGTGCGCTCTTCTTCACCAAAAGCAATATGTGAAATACTCCATGACGGCGTCTCCAGTCTACCTACACCCGTCACCTTACGCTCATCATCACCATCCACCGGTATGCCAACATGTACGTATGGCAAACGGAATGCACCGTTGCCATTTTTCTCCGCTAACGCTGCACAGGTATGACTTAAGGCAGTATTATTATTTGTATAGGCTGATATGGAGTCACAAGAATTGAATTGACGCAACGAACGACTCTTGCCTTCATCCGCCAAACGCACCAAACCCAATGCGGTGGAGAGGAATACCTGTTCGAGTCCTTGATCACTTTCGGCAGATGCTTCAAAGTATGTAGCACCGAGAGATGATGCAAACATAAACGCTTCGTCATGTGTAATTTGACGCTGTGCTGGCAAATCCAATTTATTGCCAACAAGTGTAAGTACCATTGGCTCTTGCACGTGTCGATGTAGTTCCTGAATCCATGATTTTATATCGACAAAAGTACTGGACTCTGTTAAATCAAATACTAAAATAGCTGCATTCGCGTTACGATAATACATCGGTGCGACAGCCTTGAAGCGCTCCTGTCCTGCAGTGTCCCAAATCTACGAGAAGTATAGGTTTTTTTCAGTGGAGGTATTAAGCAGCTTAGTGGTTAATGAATTTGAGTTTAAAAGCAATTGTAACCCATGTTAGTGGTTTAAGAAATATAAGAGCCGACTAAAATCCAATAGTTCCGTTGTTGTTGTTGTTATTGTAGCCACAAAAATATTCCCCAAAGAATTTTTGGGGAATATCGTGATAGTGACAGTGATTGACCGTATAAACATCTTAGTTGTTCCGAAGTAAAACCCGTCTATAACTAAAAGATTTGTATTTTAGTCGCCTCTTACGTCAGACATGCGTTACCGCGAGAAACTTCTTGAGCCCCTACCTCGCGGGAGTCATAATGCTCGCGACAGAACGTCAACGAACGACTCGCACGCATGCAATATTCCACGGAAATTTGGGGAATATTTTTGCGGTGGCAAGAACAACAACAGCAGGGGATAAGGCAACATTTTTAGTATATATATTGTCAAAATTACTTTTTTGCATAAAATTTAATGGAAATGACTAAGCATGATGTTAAACAATTTTGCATCATAAACAAAGGAACATAAAACTATTCGGAAAAGTGTAAAAAACAATATTAAAGTAATTTAAATGCGAGAACGTGAAACCCAACCTTATCGTATTTTATCTCTTCATTCATTAGAAAACCACCACCATCTTCAACTTAACTGCCATCATGCATAATAACTTTTATTTGCTTAAAAATGCAAATTTTATCAAGCACTTTGAAAGTGAAAGAATATTTTGAATGCTCGAATGAATAAAAAAATGCGTCAAAGCTTAGATAAAGGCATTACATGAGAATAAAACGATATAAACGCATACCATGAATGAAATTTTTATGAACGCATATAATAAGCTGCATTGTGCTTTAATATAGCACAGACACCACAAATGTTTGTGATTACAAAGGAATGTAAAATATAAACAGTTGTGAGAGACACTATGCAGCACAGCAAAAAGAAGATTACTATAGTTATTTACATTGCTACATCTTTACACATACATACATTTTATGGTTCAATGATAACGATGCCATAGCACTTGCATAGCATTAAAAAAAAGAATTATGATGCAAATAGCTTGACTAGTGCTAACATTTTATGTTTAACTTTTTGTTTATATACTTATGAGTATTACTTTTTTATCTGTACTTACTTGTAATTTGATTTTAACATCGTCCAGCATTACTTTGCATGTGAAAAATGATGCTGCTATCGTTGAACCGATATCCTTGTGTAATGAGTTCTTTACATATTTTGTAACCAAGCGCGTTTTACCGACACCTTGAAGTGACAGTGAAAGTGAATTAGGGAAATTATTAATAACCAAAAACATAATAATGCTGAATTACACACAAGCACACTTGTATTTTGTTTCACAGAAAACTTTGTAGCAAAAATAGAAGAGGAAACAGAGGTTTATATAAAAACATTTCGCATTTTGAAGCGAAATCTCATACAAATACTCAGACGTACTTCAGACTTTCTTCTAAATTCCCGCTAGAAAATGCTAAGATATTCCTTTCCATGTAAAAATACCCACATTTTGAATAAATGTAAATCTAGTAACTTAATGCGATAAGTTTATTTGCTTATGTATTTATGTAGGCGCGTATGTATGCTTGTATCCGTTGCATGCAATTTGATCTCAAAAAACTGGGGGATTCTTATGAATTCTTAGTCATTCATAACTTTTTCTGCAGAGCGTACGCAAGCTTCTGATTATTCTGCAACCATTCTACAAGCAACAAGAATGCATATATATATACATCCATACATTATCTGACATTATTTTTTATACATATTAGCTAAGTAGAAACTTTATTATATATATGTACGTGCGTATTTTCAAATCGACGTAAACAAAGATCTGTGCATAGACAACTATCGCAAAATGAGTGATAACGTGCCGCTGCAGCAAAGTACATTGCGAATGTGTGCGATCTTTTGTACCACCTTTTGTTTGCCTCAAAAATATAAGCGGATTATTTTATCTGTTATTATATAAGAATAGAATTTTTAAATAGGCAAGCCCATTTTACTGCGACATTTTTGCTAAATACGACGAATAGGTAAAACCCTTTTTAGGTTTTTCAGGTAAGGCAGAGTATGAGGCAGTGAACAAACTGAGCTACCCACAAAAATACGAAATAGAATGTCTTCAGGTGGTTTGCTTATGCTATAGGTATATATGTATATATATTTATTATGCATCAACCTCAAGGTGTGTTACCAGAAACTATGCACTCGTTACAGTTGTTTTCTTTGGGTGTTTAATTAGTTTAAAACAAAAGAATATTTTCAACAGAGCTTACGACTATTAAATGAATCATTTATTAAAATGCAATTACCTCGTGAACCCAACACCACCACTTTGCCTTCAATTCCACGCATTTTGCATTAGCTTCGTTACTACTCTGTTCTGTACAGTTTCTGCAGATTTAGATTTTTCAATTTCACCAGAATTACGCCTTTACTAAACTTTAAAATAGAAACAAAAATCTAAGTTAACTATTTTATTTGTAGGCTTGGAGTGGAAAGTTTGCGTTACCTTCCTCCAGAGAAGTCATACAATGTCCTGTATCTGTCCTTGAGAATTTCAAAATGTGAAATAAAAACACTTTGTTGCAGTAGTTGCAATGTTTTTTGGACACACTTTATGTTTACTTTAATAGATTACAATATTTTAGAAAAAGTTATAAATTTATTCTATAATCACTAGAATGTGTATATTTTATTACGACTTCGGTCTGTTAGTGGAGGAAAGCAAAATAATAATCATAACAAAAACTTTTTTTGTTCTGTCACTTTTCCCTGAATTGTGTCTACCTTTCTTATCCTTCCATCTTACGTTTTACGTGCTGCCATATCCCATGGATTCGAAAAAGGTGTTCACAACTAAGCGAAACAAAGCAGATCGAGTCGTTTTTCAATATTTCATGTTGCTTACAAAAGCATTATAAACCATACGAGTTTATTGAAACTTCAAAAATTCCAAATTTAAGTTTAATTGTTAAGCTGATATAAACAAGAAATTCAAATATATTTCACCGAAAATTTGGATATATAGATTTTATCCCAAAAACTGAGTAGAGGTTTCAGTAAGACGCTGAACACATAAATCATTCATTAGATACTACCAGAGAACGTATATTAGAAGAGAAGTACCGGGCATGCCGATTGCCATTTGTTCCACCTGCAGAATTGCTAAGAGACTATTTCACCGCTAATTAACAGCGAACTTCCAGAGACAGATAAATTATTTACAGGAAGTGATATTTGGGAGACAATTGCGTCAGTTCCATTTTTATGTCAAGTATTTTAAGATTATCAAGTTAAAATCGACATAAAGATAAGTTGTTCCAAGCTTTACATTAGTAGTTTGTCCATGTTACATGTGAAAAGATATTATTAAACAACATAGACCACATTGCTCGGTCGGGAGGAAAGTTGTTAGTCTAAATGCTATGCTAGTACTATGAAACCATGGTGTGGGGAGTGAAGGCAAAGCTGGGGCAAAAGTTCACCTCTCAATAAGTAATAAGGAATATGCTTAGTTCCTTACTCAATGAACAATAACGTAACCATTTATGACCTGACGCAACAAAAACTCGTTAAGGTTTTTTTTATGGCATGGCAACATTTACCGGTGATGTAGTCAACAAACATCGAACAAAACAAAAAACAGCTGGCTGTTATCTCTGTTTGCTTTGCTGTCAATTTACGTTTCCCTACATTAAATTTTACCACACTTGTTTTACATTACACCGTCTGGACCGATAAACTAAAATCCGAAAACGTAATAATTGCGTTGGTTGTGAAGTGTGGCTATTAAATTGTTTTATTAGATTCATTATACACATTCCCCATATAAACAAAGTGAGTGTTTGGTTTTGCAAAGAAGTTCGATAGAACAAAGCATTGAGCGCATCTTATTAACTGACTCACTTTTTATTACCCGCTGTCTGCCTCCACGTCTCAACTCACTATATATTGTTTCAGTCGTCATAACAAAGCAAAACGAAAGATGTCTGAAGTGAATTTCGACTGTATACGCTCAATTGAACCCAGTGCAATAGATAATACACCCGCCTCCGTCATAGCATCTACCTCCAACACAACAGCAACATCAACTACATTTACCTCCACCACTAGCCCCCCGTCTAATACATCTGTGCCAACTACACAAGCGCAATTGTCTCAATCATTAAAAAATTCCAAAGATGCTTATCTCGAAGCCACTCGCATTTTAATCGTTTTAATGGAGAATGTACTTAAAGAGCCAACAAATCCCAAATATCGTACTATACGTATTGAGAATAAAACAATTAAGGAGAAATTACTCTCTGTGGCTGGCATTGCGCAGTTACTTAGTGCTATAGGTTTTAAGCGTAGTGCTATAGAGTATACACTACCCAAGGAGGTGCCATTACAACGTATACAACAATATAGAGACGTATTGCATGAAAGACGTGAATCTTGGCTCAAAGGCAACCCACAAACAAGTAAGAGTAATTTCAATTTTATATCTATTCTGTACAAGAGTTAACTAATTGTATATAATATATACATATATATATATATTCAAATAAAAATCTATTTTCAGCTATACAAGTGCGGGAAGCCCCTAAAGTGAATGACAATGAAATGGCTGCGCAAAGAAATGAGCAGACAGCAACAGAACCATTGCTTACAATAATTACACCGTCTGTTCCTTATCAGCAACGCATTCGATTTCCTCGTGTATTGGTTAGTAGCTTATCTAGTTTCCTATTTGTATCTTATTTAATGCTAGTTAAGTTGAAGCAACTGTGATGGTTTTGCTAATTTCCATTTTCTCTTCACCAGCAAATAAATAATGCTCTCCTGCAGTCATTGGAGTCTCAATCTGATGCTGTTATGCAGTATGAAGATGACAAATTATTGGCAGCCGGACGCGAACTCATACCCATTGATGATTTAACGCAAAAGGCGAGTGAAAAGTTAATCGCATTTCAAGAACGCATTGTCGCTGGTGAATGTAAAGAGAAAGAACCTTGTATACGGGATCTTATTGTGGTGGAATTGTGTAATTGGTTTAATACAGAATTTTTTGAATGGGTTAATCATATGCCTTGCCGGGTCTGTGGCAGTGAAGAGAGTAAATTGAGACGCACTCAAACCGAGGATGACCTGCGTGTCGAGGTTAGCTTTTGCTGTGGACAAGAGACAAAATTTTATCGCTACAACGATGTAGCACAGCTTTTGGTATCACGTAAAGGTCGATGTGGTGAATATGCAAATTGTTTTACCTTTCTCTGTCGCTGTTTGGATTACGATGCACGCATTGTGTATTCGCGTTTCGATCATGTTTGGACAGAGGTACTATAAAAATATTTTGAACTTTTTTAATTTCTAATACGAAATATATGTATATATTATATATATAGGTTTATTCGGAATCTCAAATGCGCTGGTTGCATGTAGATCCCTCCGATAATGTTGTAGACTCACCACTAATGTATCAACACGGTTGGAAGCGTCCCATTGACTATGTTTTCGGTTACTCTTGCGATGATATACAGGATGTAACCTGGCGTTATGTAAATAATCACAAAGAGACGTTGCAGAATCGCCGCTTGTGTGGTGAAAACGATTTGTTAGCTGCAATTATAGCCATACGGGATAAACGACAGAAAGGATTCAGTGCGGAACGCAAAAAAGCGTTAAGTCAACGTGCAATGTTAGAGCTATTTGAGCTAGCAGTGGAACGGTAAATTAAATCAATCTTTTTTACATTAGACAACTTCTGGGAGAGTGTGAAGGTTAATGAAAATATCGTTTCTCTAAATGCTGCTTGTTGACGAGCACAAGTCTTTTGCTAAATGAAAAAAATGAATTCTCGCTGCTTCAACCTAAAGTGTGTTAAATCAAATGCAATTTAAACCAAAAAATTGAATCAAAAATATTTAAACAAATAGTTCGATATTTATATTTTTTTTTAATTCAAAACAGAAACATTTAAATTAAATTAAAACAATTACAAGTGGTTTTAAAAATTTATAAATCTAAATTAAACAAATGTGTGATACAGTTTAAACAAATTACAATTATTAAATTCAATTCTTCTTCTTCTTCAAAATCAAAAGATTAATACTACTGAGCAGATGCACTTTTTAATGAAATAAAAAATTTAAATTGTTGGACAAAATCTGGGCGAAGGTTCGGATATAGTCAATCTAAAAGTATTTTACTATTAAAAAAAAAAAATAGAAAATAACTACATACTTGTTGGCTCTGTCTTACTGTAAAGATTAATATTCCCCATGTATTTTAGGCAACCAACTGAGGGTGAACTCAAGGGTCGCAGTTCTGGCAGTTTGGCCTGGCGTCAATCACGCGGTGAACATGCGTTTAATAACGTAAGCGACATTTTATTAATCATAATTCAACATCTAGTTATACACTTGCCAATTTACCTTACCTATAGATTTTCGTCTTCACCCCTAACGATACAGAAATCAACAGCAAACAGTTTAATATGCGTTACAGTTGTGCCAAAGATATCTATGAGCGTTATCTCAAAGGTAAGATTTATATTATATAATTTGTTTACACTAAAGGGTGCACACCACGTTTACATATATTACAATTTAGTTGACGAGGGCGATGTCAAAGTGTTGCAGACATACAAAACTTGGCAGAGCGCACAATTTTCATCCAGAAATATATTTCGTAAAGTCGAAAGAGATTGGAAAATGGCTTACTTATCCCGTGAAGGTTTGTAGTATTTGAGTATTGGTTTTTTTTTTGCAATTTTAATTAAATCACCTTTTGAACTTTTCAGAGGGTGCGGATCGTGGTGAGATCGTTTGGAAATTTGACTTTTCCCAAGCTGGCTTAAAAATCAAGTCATACAATTTACGTTTCGAGCGAAAAACATATGGCGAAGGTCAAATCGACGTGAATGTGATTGCCGATAATGGTAGTGCTAACATTATTGGCGCTTCAGTATTTCAAATCCGGGCGGTATTGTCGGGTGGCAAAGGTGATGTGGCTTGGCAACATGCTCAGCTGTTTAGACAAAGTTTAAATCAAGCAGATAGTTTATTCGATTTACAAATTAACTTTATATAAAAAAGTTTAATGAAATTATTTTTGTGCAAAAAAAAAAAACCAAATTATATTATATTAATTTAATAAGAAAAATATGCGCATTATGTGATTCCAAACCCATTTTCGAACATGAACAAGCAAAGCAAAGAAAACCAAAAAAAAAAAATATTTTATCTACGCAACGAGTATGTATTATGTAAGTACATGCTTATAATAATAACGTCAAATTTTCAAAAGAAAACTTATACAAGTATATTTATATTTGATACAATAATTAAAAAGATAATAATAATAACTTAAATGCTGTAATCCATTTTTACATATGTATGTATATATACAGAAAGAAAAAACGTAAACAATGCTTCATACCTATTCACTATGCGTCCTTTTTATAGTAAAAAGAATAATTAACTGCGTAAATTTCTTCCAATACGCATATATTTGTTTACAAACTGAGTAACTTAAATACTAAAGTGCCCAATTCTACATTTCGCTGTTCACCAATTCGAACCATTGACGCATGGCTTCACTTAGAACGAGCGGCAGTTGGTTCAAATCACGCACAATCACATAATAGGGGAAGGGGAAATCATCCAAATACGATTTTATGTTTATGCGTTTATCCGGCAGCATTTCCATTGTTTGTATGTCAAGTATAGAGTCCTGAAATTGATAATTAGTCAATAAAATATTTCAGTATTCTTTAGACTACCATAATACAAACCTTATTTTCAGGATTATCTATAATGATGTACACCAAGAAAATACGTTGCAGACGCGCCAACTTAATTGCATTGCGTACCTGGAGTAGGGAGAAAACAATATATATTTAGAGCAATCCTACTTTTTATAATCAATCATAAAAAAAAAAACTGACCTTCATACGCCCCTCGCTGAAAATATTCCGTCCATCACTAAGCACGAGCAGCAGATTTTCGAATAGACCATTATCCGTACCCAATGCAGCCTCTTCCGTATTTGCAGTGCGTACAAAATCGAGCAACTCGGCAATTTTCGTTTTATCCTGCGCAAAATTCAAGGCATTCACCAATTTCGGCCCATCAAATTGTTCCGTATGATTGAGTATAATTTGTGGTGATTCACCGAAGGAGATAATACTCAAGCGTCCGCTTTCGAGCAATGTCAGTGCTTGCGATACCAACGATATTGCCTCGAGTGTTAGTGTTTTTGAGTTGTTATGATGCATCGATTTCGAATCATCAATGGCTATGGTGATTTTATAATCACGTTGTGCAGCTTTAGTGCGACGCAACCATATTTTGTCTTTGCGGAATTGTGACGCAATATAGGGTATGATTTTCTTCATATTAATGCGGCGCCCAGTGCGATAGTCACCCTTTAGGCGCGTACACTTTGTGGGTTCTAATATGAGACGCAGCTGTTCGCATAGTTCGCGTGCATTTTGTGACATTCGAGTCGATACGGTTTGCCATGTATCGTAGTCTTCATGCACGGGCAAGGTCTGTATAGGAGTAAAAAATTAAATTTTTATTAAAGTCTTTTCGTGAACTCTTTAAATGGTTGACTCACTGTTTTATTTGTGGCCAGCTGCTGCTGATACGTTTGGCGCATTTCCAGCATTTCAGCCGTGCTTAATTCTTCGCTACGCGTGAGATGTTCTAGCAGTATCTCTTTGCTGAAAGCAGTCCATTTAATGCTTCATAAACTCAAATAAATAAAAATTTATAATTTATACTCACTTGCAATGCGCCGTGGTGTCGTCATTACGCGCCACGGTCATTGTCTGCACCACCTCGCCTTCAACCTCCATTTCCTCTTCAGTCTCTGTGTGTTCCTTGCTGCGTTCCGTCTTTGATGGCTTCTCCGATTTGTTATCGAACTTCTCTGCGCTCATTTCCTCCAGATTCTGTTCATCTTCATCCATTTTCTCTGCGTTCTCTGCCTCTTCCAACTGTTCATTGTTCTCCCCATCTTCTTCGTTTGCCGCGCCCTCTTGCTCTTCATCTTCTTGGTGTTGTATCTGTTTCGACTGCTCTTCAGTGGCATTGTCAAGTGTCGTCTTATCATTCTTTTTCGCTTCTTTTACATGCTGGAATTCTTCGGCGTCTGCTTCTTTTTCGTTGTCATTATCTTCGTCGCCCTCTTGCTGCACTTTTTGTTCCTTCATCTTATCAATGGTCTTTAATTGCTTGATTTTCTTTTCCTCCGCTTCGCCTAAAGTACGCTCTTCATTCGTTTTACCCTGTTTACGTTTCTCTTGCGGTTTTTGCTCTTTAGCGTTTTCGTCCTGTGCAATTTGCTCTTTGGTTTCCGCAATACCCTGGTGGCCACCATCGTTTGTCTGTAAGAAAATAATAAGGACATTGAAAAGAAAAATGTTGGGCATGCGCAAATTCTCATTTCACTTACCTCATTTTCAGCCTGTCCTACACCATCTTTCTCTTCCCCCGTCTCTTGTTCATCCAATTTTTGATCCTGTTTCACATCTTGATCATTTTCGCTTTGCACTTCATCGGGCGTACCTTTGTTTTCGGTTTCAGGCACGGATTGCATATTCTCCTCTTTACTTGTTTTGTCCTTGGATTGCTCGTAATCTTCCGGTTTCTCCTCGCGTTCTTCATTCTTCTCATTTTCCTCTTGCCTCTCATCCGCGCCTGTGTCGAGCTCCTGTTCGCCTCGTGTTTGCGTTTCGGCTTCCGTCTCATCTTCGGCTTCCTCGTCTTCCTCTTCCGGCTTGTCTTCATCGCCTTTCTCTTCCTTGCGCAATTCCGTGTCGCCTTCACCGTCCTCTGAGTCGCTATCATCCGATTTCGACTCAACCTCATTCTCTTCTTTCCCCTCCTCTTCTTTACTCTGCTCATCCACATTTTCCATATTCTCTTTCATTTTATCAATGTCGAAGGGATTTTCTTCGCCCTCTCGCTCATCAGCACCCTCTTCTTGTTCATTATCCGCATTCATGTCACCCAAATCCATTTCCTCTGGCTCTGGCGGTTCTTCAAGCTCATTGTGATATGGGTTGGGTTGATCCTCGTCCACCTCAGGCTCTTTCATGTTATCAATATCTTTTTCCTGCTGCTTGCGCTTGTCATCTTTCACATCGTTAGCCGCATCTAAACCTTCGTTTTCTTGTTCCGTTTCATTTGCTGCGTCATTCTTCGCATCTAGATCGTTATGGGTGTCCTTCTCATCTTTTGTGCCCTTGCCTTGATCCTCTTCCTGTTCATTCTCTTCCTCTTCCTCTTCTTTTTGCTCCTCATCGTCACCCCAAATTTGTTCGTCCAATTTATCGGCCTCCGCGCCAGTCTCCCCCATTTCTTTATCCATCTCATCCTCTTCATTTTCCGACTCACCGCTATCGTCTTCTTCGGGCTTCTCTAAGTCTTGTGCATTCGCATTAAAATCTTCACTCACATCGATGCTCTTATCTTCCTTACAGTCCTCTGGCTGTTTGTTTTCCTCATTTTTCCGGTCCTCCGGTCGCTTTGCATCGTCCAGCTGATCTTCTGACTCAATTTTATCCGTCGCGTCATTTTCACCAGTGCCATCCTCTAAACCAAAGCCTTCACCGTCCTTTTGGTCCTTCGCCTGACCCTCCTCGTCCTGCATGAGATCGGGTGGCACGCAGAAACCCTTACTGCCGATCTCCACAAACACCGTTAGCATAACGGAGAGCATCTTCGCGGATACTTTATGTGCCCCCAGCTGCTGGAAGAGATAGTAGTCGGCCAACAAGTAATATTGTTCCAAAATCGGCATGAGTGTGGTGAGCTTGCGTGCACAAACTAATTTCGATTGGCTTGGAGAAGCGTGTTTGAGCGTGAGTAGCACATTAGATAGTTGCTCAACGATGTTGGCGATATTTAACATCTGCCAGTCAGACTCGAGCGCTGCATGTAGTTGCTCCTTCAAATGCTTCTCCTGCAACTCAAGCTCGTTGCGGGCTTTACCAGGTGAGAATGACTCCTCTGTGACGCCGCTGGGGGACTGGGTGTACTTCTTGTAGAGTTTCTGTAAGGCAAGCAGGACCTCATGCAATATATGCTCCAGCACTACATCCAAATTTTCCAAATTTACCGGCGGTGCAGAGCGCGTCAGTGCAGCTAAACGTTCTTTGGATGAATTAACGAAGTTGAGTAGATCTACAATAGGTTTGGCTATAGGTAAAGGTTCCCCCGCTGCAGTACTCAAACTAGCGACGAGTTTTTGAAGCGTTTGATACAATTTATCGTGTGTCGCTTTGTAGACAGTTACGCGCTCTACGTTTAGGAACTCCTTGTCATTCTTTAGCATTTCAACGAGTGTGGCTTTAGCCGTTTGAAGCACCTCATCACAGTTGCTCACGATGGTTGCGTAGTAGGGCAAGTTCTGTAGCAAGTGACACTCACTTTGCGCCAACACCGTATTTTCCACACTCTCGCCAGATGGCGCGCATGCCAATAGTAAACTAAATTGCTCCAAAACATATCGCATTCGTGAGATGGACTCACGCAAAACAAGATAACTGTCACGCGCTTCACTAAAAGCAAGGCCTTCCACAGCTTTCGTCAAGTCTCCCAGACTGCAGATATCATAGATCTCTTTAATATGTTGCATATGTACGTTGAGGTCATAGATTTGCTTGCTCGTATTGGCGAGTAGACGTCTCTGGTTCTGCACCAATAAAAACATATCGACGGCGAAACCTTTAATACGTTCAATGTTTGGCGGACCGAGCTCAGACAAGGGCGCCAGCATAATATTTTGCAGCAAGCGGAGCTTGAACTCACATTTCGCATAGTAGCGATCGAGGTTCTCATTCAGATGCAAGACATTTGTGTGCAAACGTTTGTCGGAGCGTGCGCCCAGCATTGTCTTAATGCAGAACGGCGGCAAAGTGAGCTCAGTGAAGTCAGTGCGTAGCGATAGCTCCATCAGACCGGCCTTGAAGCTGAGACCGAGTTGTGTGAGCGTTTTAAAGAGGTCTGTTAGGCCTTTACGTTTCTGTTGCAAAATTTGTTTCGCCTCCAGCAGCTGCTTTGGACGTTCCTTACTACGATCTACGCTTAGCGCACGTAGCTCATCACAACGCTCCAGCTGCGAACAGAGCACACTATCCAAAGCTATTATTAAATTGGAGAAATTGGCATTGCTCACAGTCTCCTTGACAACGTTACGCGATGTCTTGAATAACCGTTCGACTTTATTCAAAAGCTTTTGCTCGGCATGGGATTCAGTGATGAGCTCATTGCCAACGACCTCCTCCTCGCGCACCCCATATTTCTCGGCGAGCTTTTGACCTGCGACAAAATTTTTAACTTCCACCAAATAGTATTTGATGCGCGTGTCGTAACGCAATTCGCGACCCTTATCATTTTCGAAATTGTAATCTTTAACGGTGGCATCTTTCGGCTGGAAGACGGGCGTAATTTTTTGCTGCAACTGCTGCTGATATTCCTTGAGGAACTTATTCAGATTACGATGCACACGCGCAACATTATTACGCATGCTAAAGTAGGACAAATCCTTGTTGTAACTCTCGATCTTCACCAGTTCCTTCAGCTTCTTTTCGATGGGTGTGCGCATACTCTGCGCAGTCTCATCGATCTCTTGCGCAAATTGTGCAAAATATATTTGTAGATTATGCAAGCCCGCGATCAACGCACGTGCGTCTGCCGTCAACTTGTCGTTGTTGCTCTGCAAGGTGAGTTGTGCCACGTTGTGCAGATAAAGTTCGAACGCCTGCAGCAGCTGTAGGCGTACATGAAAATCGCCATAATTCGCAGCCTCAACGAATTGACGGAGAATGCGCACAATATCATCGGCGTTCACCTTGGTCTTCTGCGCCACTTCCGCGTCATCTAGCAATTCACCCTCGCCGAAGCGCTTTTCGGCATTCCTTATATCCATGTAAGAGCTATCCAGCTCACGCTCGTGCAAATACTCCTGCAGCAGTTGGTAGATGTAGAACCAATATTTGTGCGTATTCGCCTCGATTTGTAACTTCGTTTGATTCAAGCAATTGCGCCAACACTGCAGCTCGAGCTTCATCCAACGCTGTACATACTCGGCCACGGCAACCTCCTGTTCGCGCATGTGATTGCCTTTGTGCGCGACCTCATTCCACTGTGCGAGCTTTTGACGCAACAGCTGGAAGCCGGTATTGAAGCGCACGACCGGCGCGTTGGCGGGCAGCGTGCGTATGCGTTCAATTACACGCTTAATGTCGATGAGACTGGCGTGCTCCGGATACAAGGCGAGCTGTGAGTCTGCGATCAACTCTATGTCCTTCAGCAAATCCATACAACCCAAGATTTCCGGTAAGTTGGCATCTTTGTAGTAATTGTAGTTATGGGCGGTTTTCCCAACCAGCAGCGTTGTGCCGGCATCCTTCAGCTGTTCTTTTTGTAGCGCCAAAGCCAAAGTGCAACTGTTATATGCCGCTTCTGCGAGCCAATCATTCAAGCCGCGTTTGTAATGTGCATATAACGGTACGAAGGCCTGCATGCGTGCTTGAAAGGGTTCTATGAACTCCAGCTGTAGCGCACCGCCGAAACCAGCGCCGTGCTTGTGGTAGTAGACATGCGTATATTGAGCCATGAGCTCAATGAAATTAGTCGCCAAAAAGGTGTAATCCTCATCGCGTATCACTTGTGTCTTTTGCGTTTTCAAATTCGCCTTCTTATCCAGCTTGACAACTTTCTCCAGCGTAGCCTCAATGAGAAAATCGCCAAAGTCCTCCTCAACATTAGTGGGGAAATGCGCTTCGATCTCTTGCAGTTCGAGCAGCTCCTCATCCTCTTCGGCGCAACGTGTTTTATTTACATACAAACTCTCTTCCTCCGCCTTCTGTGCGCGCCTACGCTCCTCTTCTGCCTGCCAAATTTGATTTGACACACTGAAAATGTAATCCAACTCGCTGAAAATGCCCTCGTCGATATGCGCCGAAATCTTTATACTGTTACGTAACTCTATGAGCTTCGCTTTGAGCAAGCGGAAGTAGGTGTGCTCGCTGTGCGGCAGCTGTTTGAGCACGCTATTTACATACGAGCGTTGTTTGAGTATCGCGCGTGTGGACGAAGACTTTGAGGTGCCGTCTGCGAAGAGTTGGCGGCACGCTGGAAACTCAGCAATGCTGGCTAAAGTATGCGAGAGCCGGTCATCGGCGTTGAGATTTGTGTAAACTTTTTTGTCTGTCAATTGCAAAATATTGCTCGCGACTTGTGTGAGCGCCACCTTAAGGCCTTCAAAGCCGTAGCGTAAATGGTCGATTGAGTATTGCAATGGTTGTATGAAGTCCTGATAATGCTCCATGTACGCCTTCAGTGTGTGATTGAGGAAGCGTTGCGAATTGGTAATCCATAAATTAAGTTTATTCACGACCTCCGTGCTGTTACTTAGGATTTGTGCAGCGTTTGCTGCTTGAAAATCACTTGTGAGTTGTCTCCATGCTTTTTGCGCGCTTTGTATGAGAATGTGAAGCGCTTGTGGTGCGCAATTCGTTTTCAGATAATGCGTTACATCGTCGACGAGCCTGGGGTAGAGACACTCCGTCGGACGCAAAGCTAATTTTTGTGCGTATTTCTGCTGTTTCGATTGGAGAAATTGCAGGCGCGTCTCAAAAGCGTTGTACATCTCCGTTCCCAAGTGTTTGTATTTCATTATTATGCGCATAAAATCGTAGGCGGTGGTCATAGTGGTTAGGCAATTTATATCCTCGACAACGTAGAGATTCTTCAAACGATTCTTCTCGACTGGATCTATGAGCGGCGTGAAGGTGAGCAAACAGACTTCCAGAGCGCCCACCAGACTGTTGAGCAGAGCTGCCTTATATAGCATGGTTTGATGGTGGAGCGTGCCGTTGCTCTGCTGGGCACTAACGCTGTTTGTTGTCTCATCACTTGCAGCCGTTAAAGAGTACAGCAGTTGTTGAAAGTGCTCATTGTATTCACTAAAGTTTTCATTTTCCATACTGTCGCATACTTTCTTGACATACGCCGCCTCGTGTAGCAGCTTTTTTGCGCTGCGCTGCGCTGCGAGCAAATTATTACGCACGTCACTGTGTTGCGCTGTCAACAAATTCGCATTCTGCCAGAGTAAATGTTGCAATTGTTTGAGTGTCGCTTGCCAATCGCTCAGTTCATTGAGCGGCACTGGACGCAGGCAACCGTTTTCTTCGAAAATCAACGAGCAAAACACATTCAAGAAGCTACAACCATCATAAGTATATGAACAATCAACTTCTGCCGCTGTGCGCAGAACATTCGCCGCCGTTTCGCGCGTCCCTAAATTGTAAAGCTGCATGCTATTTACAGCATTCTGCAACTGCGCGTGATATGAATTGAAAAATCTATAGCTGCCATTCAGGTATTCTAGCAGCGCTTCAAATCCACTGACACTCTCAATGCTTTCCAAGTGTTTCAGCAGCTCGGACCAGACCTTTTCGTAACTTTTGAATGCGCTTGAGTTATACACCTTTATTAATTGCCAAGTGGCCGAGCTCAGTGAGGTGATCTCTTCGCAGTATACCTCATTTATTTGCGTCCCACCGTTGCCGATGCTGTTCAGTGCTTTAGCAAGGTAAAATTCACGTAACGCCAGCAGACGCATATTGAACTCCTTAGGCTCTGTGGCCAATTCCAAATTCTCCGGTGAGTTCACCACACTTTTCAATGCTCCAATCGCAGTTTGCAGTGCTCCATCTAAGTCTTCATCAAACGCGCCCTTATCTTCTGTGGTATTATTCACATACGCCACCAATGCTGTGTGTAGTGTTTCGGGTATGTCAGCGTTACGTGTTGTTGGCTGTTGAATTCTTTTGAACTTAGTGTTGATTTGTTGCTCTAAACATTTATTTATTATTGCGCGTGCGCGCCTAGCGTCAACACTGTTTTGTGCCAGGAACTTTTTAAGCACCTGCTGATGCGTAAAGCTGCCGTAGGTGGGTACTACAGCGAGTAGCTGATCCAGTGTGCGTACTAATCTATAAAAGTTTATCTGAAAGCAAAAAAAAATCTTCATTGACTTGACTTGAATAAAGAAGAAAAAGATAAAACTTCTCTCGAAGCTTTTGCATCTTTTATGAACGTGAGATCATTTAATTTTTAGAACTAACAATATTCATTGCAAAAGTGCTATTACATTGGTGAATAAACTGAATTTACGCACCTGCTCTCTGAGAGCACTCATAACCAACTCGAACTAACCAACGACATTTCCAGTTGCCTACGCTCAGACGCCGACGAGACAAAATAGAAAAAGAGCTGGTACTATGAGGCTTGCTGCACCACAGTGGAGAGAAAGCAGGATGCCTCGCAACGCTGGAGTCGGCCAAAACACGTGCAAGACACATTTCTAGACAAATCCAAGAGAGTGATAGGATAACCAAAGTCCAGAGCAAGCCAATTTTTGTAACGAAAATTGATTTAGTCCAGTAAATGACAGATGACATTTAGTCGAGTAGCGATTGACATTAACAAACGGGCGTGAGCGAAGAGCTGACAAGCTGTAAGTCTCAGTTTCTTTAATTGGCCTTAACACGTCTAGATTATAAAGAGAGACAAAAAAATGGGTCTGGTAGTGAACGAGAACAAGACGAAATATCTCCAACCATTAATGTCGTACTATATAGGAACCATCGTTAAAAGCAACAGCAACCTTAGCCTTGAACACAGAATCACTCTTGTCAATAGGTGCCACTTAGTACTGAAATTAGGAATAGAAAATTTAAATCCTCCCTCTTACATAATTTCCGTCCTCTGGACACATACACCTTGACATTGACATAGTTTAACAAATTAAGAGGCAGTGACTTCACGAGCTTGGTTACATGCTGGTGAAAGCCGAGGAAGAAAAAGACCTCACTACGATGATATGATCAAGTGGGGAGCGAGTTGGTATTTCCAGTCGGCCCCAATCAAACAACGAAGATGAAGAAGATGCTTATAGTAAGGGAAAGTGCAATGCTTAATGAAGGGTTAACTCTAGTGGCTTTGTGATTTGGAAACTTAGATAATAATAATACGGAATATCCGAGCAAGTCAGATATTCGGGGTGTTCACCCTCTTCCCGGCATTAATAACATATAGAGTGAAAATAGGCCATTCACAAGTGCAAAAAATATCTCGAACTGGATGAGTTTGACAAGTTTTATAGGAACATTTTGGGTAACGAAAAAGCTGACAACTTGGCCAAGCCTCGGAAGCATTTCTTGTAGAAAATAAACAGATGGCAATCCATAGCCAACTGCCCATCTCTCATTCGACACAGAACACTTGGAACTCATTAGGAAAGCCATGCCTCAAATCTTGAATGAGCTAAATAAAGAATATAAAATCTTCTATAAGAGAGTACAGCTGTTGGCGTCTCATCGTGTTCTCATTGGTCTCAATAACCGCGCCGTGAATTTCACCTACTCCAGATTAGATGAGGAAGCGAAGCGTATGGGCCTTAAAACTTACAACATTGTCAGCCACGAAAGCCAACGCGAAATCACTCTTGCCAAGCGCTGCTAATTTAGACTGAGTAGGCAATTGAAAAGTAATTGAATTGAATAAAGACCAAACTCTAAAAGCCGCAATCGTTCCCGTCCTACTCTATGGTGCTCCCATGGATGGCGACAAAGATTTGGCGTAAGGTTCTCTACGAGTTGGAAATGGCACATACCGCAGCTGATGGAACGATGAGTGGTATGAGGTATATGACGACATTGATTTAGTTGAGCAGCAGTTTTCGATGCAGAGGAAGAGGGAGACTTGAACTCTCTGGAAAGGCAGGGTGGAGAAGAAGCTAGCTGTATCTGATGCTGGTCTCTACGCCGGTAAGTAAGAATAGGATGCTAACTTTGGAATGAACAGCTTAACAATATAGCACATTATTCTGTCCATATCAGCATGAATTTTCAAACATGAATTTGTTCAGCTTCTGGTAATCGTTTTACATGCCGCATTCAAGATAGATAAGAAGTTATAATAAAAAGCCAAAACTTACCTGTTTCTCCTGATAGAAAGGTGCAAAGTGAGTGAGATGTTTATTGTAGACTTTCCGCATTAGGTTTAGCGGCTCCTTAATGCTCACAATATAATTATTGATCTTCAGCAGACTACCGTTAAAATCAGCATTCAACTGACAATAATTTGGCAACATTTGTGTAAGTAATCTTAATAAGTTCTTCTCCAACCACTTAAAATGCAACACAAGCTTATCCATCAACTGCCTATTCAATTGTTTTCTCTCCACCAGCTGCTCTTGCGCTATACTCAACAAGCGATTATACCACAAATAGGCCGTTACTATTGACGAAAATGTGCTGAGATCAATGTGAGCATAATCCAGCGATGCGCTCAACACTTCACGTAAACTAGCCATGAAAATGGCAAGATTTTGTAGTAGAACATTTTCATAACGATCCGCTATGCCGCCTGCAGCGAGTGCTTGTGAGTAGGCCAGTGCATCGGTATCATTGATATTTATTTTCCGAGGCTGTGGCAGAGGCAAGAGCAACAAATGTGCAACAAGTTGCGCGCTCAAACAGAAACTTTTGTGATTTTTCGCATCCGCTGGTTGGCTGGCGTATGCGCGTATACGTGGAAATAATTTGTTGTTCCAAGGCAACTCATCTGGGGTTGATTCAAATTGTGTACTGCTGTGTTTTATGCAGGCGAAGAGAGATTGTGATAGGTTTTGCAAATCTGCTTGTGAGTTGAGCAATTTTGTCAAATATAAGTAACGCAGCTCGGCATCGCCTATGGAGCTGCATTCGTAGAGCATATAAATATAATATTTTAATAATTGAGTTTGCTCAACTTTTGTCAAATCGACATGAGCGAAATCTGCAAACATTTCTGTCAATACATTTTGTGCGTCTTCATTGTGGCGTAGTAGACTGCGTAGTGGCTCAGTTTGTAATTTGATTAAGGAGAGAGCATGCAACTCATCGCTGTGTAACACAATATCGCGTAAGCGATCCTCATCTGCAGCTACATACTTGGCGGCATTTGCAGCAAACTTCTTAGACTCGGCCAAAACGATCTCACGCAATTGATTCTGATAGTAGGGCAAACCGAAACCCATGAGGTCAGTGTTCGCTGCATACACATAAACCTCCATGCCGCTTACATAAATGGCGCGTTCCATATCATAACCGATGCGAGCGTAAGATGCCGTCAGAAAAGCGAATTGTGCGAGGTGTGTTATGTTGTAGTTGTTGATCTCTGTCGACTGCATTAGACGCTTGTGTATATCGAGTATACAGTTGATTGCGCGCAAGCCACGCACACCATTGTTATAGACAATCAGACGCATATCATCTACGCTGTAGGGGTCCTTAGCTATGGCCAGCTCAACACAACGATTGCGCATGGCACGCGACAGCTCACCATTTTTCGGGTCGATTGTGAGAAAAGCGCGGAAATTCGGCGCTTTCTCAACTATCTCGGCACACTCATTTGCTGAAACACCTTTTTCGGATATCAGCAGATTACCATTCGGTTCGAAAACGGGATTTAGGCGATCCAACACTGCTGAGGAGCAGAGATTTACGTGCTCCAATAAAATATATTGACCGCACTTGAGTGATTTAACAATTTTCGAATCGACCCACTCGAATGAGCCACCCGTGTTTAGTGTATCTGCGTTACGCACATGATTTTCCAATATGCTAAGTCGGTTTTGCTGTTGTTGTAGCTTTTCTTTGGTTGACGTTGAGTATGTGACGGTCAAGGCATCATTTGTTGTTGCTAATAAAACAGTTATGACTTTATTTAAACGCTGTATACGCTTGCGAAAGCTTGTCAGCTCCTCCGACATGGACGTGGCATTATTTGTGGCTATGATAGAGGAGTGATGATAGTGATTAACGAGCTAAAATTGTTGTTTGAATGTAAAGAAAATACCTAATTTAACATTCGATTCTTTAGCATAGGCGCCCCACACTTGCAGCAGCTCCGCAGCGGCTTTGTAAGCTTTCGACGGCCGTTCCAGTATCATGCAACGCAGTTGCGCTGCGAGCACAGACTCCACACTTTGTGAGATCTCCTCCAAATGTCTGTTTAGATCAATCTGGGAATGAGGGAAATTCCAACAAAGAAAAATAAATATACATATTTCTCAGTACAGGCATACTTAACACACTCACCTGCTGAAAACTGCCCGTCACCGAGTCATCAATGGTGTCCGTATTACAGACTTGATTCGTTAGAGTACACAAAAGATCAATCAACTTCGTCTTACCGGTATCAGTTGGACCGCACAGCAGCACTGGCTTCTCCATGCGCACACATTCCACCATATTTTTAACCATTTCACGTTGAGACGTCAACAAAATCGGGCATAAATCATTACTACGCAATGGACGCAGAGCTTGCCCATCACCAACGCGTTCCAACACAATATCATTCAAATAAATTTTCTCTGATGTCCAATAGAGTGAGACATCTTCGGAGATGACGTTTAGCTGATCAGCATCACATTCGAAGACCTTACCGAATGCGTTGCGTATGAAACGTTTATCCTCTTCGCAACGCATGCGCTGGTAGTAAACCAATTTCATGCGCTCATAAACCGTCAGTAGAAAGTTTTCGAAATTCCTACGGAACAGTTCTAAGGTCGTTGTAGACGCAGAGCAGCTGTCGCTCTGGAAAATGAAACCAGTGTCAGGATTTACAAGAAGATCGCACCAGCGAAGTATATCACGTAGATTGATTTCAAACGGACCGCCCCTATGGCCGAATTCGAGCGCCGCTATACCATTGTCGAGTAACTCGGAGAATTCTACTAGGCGTTTGGTCACATCTAAAGTGAAGCGAGTCGGTCTGCTTTCCGCCTCGGTGGCAGACTCAACACTTACCACGTCTTTTGAGGATTTTTTATAAAATTCAAATAGACTTGTTGGCCCTTCAATTCTATATTTCTCAAGCAATTTTGCGAAGCGCATGCGTAAATTTTCGAAATAAGCCTCATATTTGCCATTCACCACAAACAACAAGTCCTGTGTGGTGAGTTTGCGCAAGTAGACTTTATTGAAACGATTTAAGAAAGATTGCGGAAGACCCTTACGGCCGCCACCTTGTTTCAACGGATTCTGACAGGCAAAAACGCGTGTCTCTTTACTCAGTGTGAATGTTTTGTTCAACTCCGGTATGTAAACTTCACCACGATGATCAAGTATGGCGTTGAGACCCTCCAATACAGATTGTGGCGCTAAATTAAGCTCATCCAATAGAATCCACGTGTTATCCGCCTTCAGTGCGGCCAATAAAGGACCGTCGCGCCATACAAAAGCGCCAGCGAAGCCAGCTGATTGGTCTGTGCTCTTTTCAACCGTTTCACCGTCCAAGATGTTGTCTTCGGCAGGCAGATCTGTGCCAAAGAGATCTGCCAAATCGGTGTGTTCGCAGAGATTTATGCGCACAATACGGTAACCGACGGCCGCAGCGATGCTTTCAACAGTCGATGTCTTGCCGACACCCGGTGGTCCTTCCAGGAGTATGGGCTTGTTCAGCGAAAGCGCGGAGAGTAAACGAAAAAGATTTTGTTTGGTCGTCGGCGCTTCAAATAAAAAGCTTTTGCTCGCCTCCACATTTGAGCGGGCGTTGGTTGGTATAAAGAATGGTTTGATGCCGAATTTCTCCGCGGAGTGTGTGACCTCAGTGCCACGTTTTTGTGCCAAATCGTCGAGACTGAATTTTTCATTCAAAATAGCTGCTGCCTTCTTAATGGCAAACTGTATTATGAGCTTTCGCAATAATTCAACCTTTTCGAATGATTCGTGCGGTAACAACTCCAAAGCGTCTAGGAAGATGGTTTCCAAGCCAAATATGGCACTTTCCGCAAAAGTTAAGTGCGCATTGCTGGCGATGTAATTGGCCCAGGCGAGTATGTCACGTATGGAAAATTTGAATTTCTCCACAATATAGCGCATGTACAGCACCACTTCGACGAGATAACTGGCGATTTTCGTTATCTCATCTTTGCTTGTGTCGACAGACATTTGCGAGTTTTCCATCATGCAGTTGCTGGCGATTTGTATCAAATCCTCTTTCGTATCCGAAGGCAAGCACCAGATTTCGGTGAAACGATTACGAAGCGCAGGTGAAAGCTCCTTTTTGCCGAAATCGCCGCCTGGATTCATAGTGGCTAGGAACTGGAATCCCTCTTTCGCTTGCACAACAAAGTCCTTAGCTAGCTCAGCAGGATTATCCGTCTCACTAACACCACCTTTTTCTGCTAGGAGCACAGTACGCTGAGGTTCAAGTATACAATTTAAACGTTCCAATACGGAGTCCTCAGCCAACGAGATCTCATCGGCCATAAAGTAAGAGCCCTCTTGCATTGCCAATATTAAAGGACCATCAGCCCATTCAAAGAGTTTCTTCGTGCCGCCCGTCTGCTCACTTGATTCGCGGCATGGGCGTAGACCACCCAAGAAATCTGCGCCCTCGGTGTGCATGTGACAATTTAGAATACGCAGCTGCACACCACGTATGCTGGCCAACAGCTGACAGACGGTGGTTTTGCCACAACCTGTTGGACCCACAAGCAAGACGGGCTCGTTGAATTGCAGTGCTTTAGCCGTCAGCACAGCCATGCGTGTCATGTTGCGCGTCCAAACAATGTCGGCGCGCAGCTTATATGCTTTTATAGCAGTGATAATATTACGCGTCACTGCCGAGCACGCGTCCCCGCTGGACTGCGCATCAAAGAGACGGCCGAGATCGATGCGCTTACGGAAGTTCTTATACAAGGTCTCTTCGATAATTTCGATTTCGATGTCTGTACGCACTTTAGCTGATAGCACCAGGTAGCCCTCTTCGATTAAATGCTGGTTCCAGTCATATTTATCATCCTTCAACAGCTGCTTGTCGGCGTAGGTGTAACGGTTGCCCCAGCGAAAGAGATCACGTAAGGTGAATACATTTTTGCTCGTAGTCTTGCGATTCTTCTGTAAATCCGACATGCACATCACCATTTTCTTGGCATACGAGTTGGGTATTAAACATCGTTTTTCTAAAATAACTTCCAACTCATCGCGTGGTATATCGGAGAAATGCAACTCGATGAAGCGGTTTTTGAAGGCGCGTGACAGTGTCTTACGACCACCATATAAACCAGGTGGATTTTGTGTGGCGAAGAGCATGAAATTAGGATGCGCCTTCACTAATGTCTGTGTTTCTGGTATGAAGAGTTCACGATTGTCATCCAGCACACGATTCAGTGCCTCTAAAATGTCGGTGGACGCCAAGTTCAATTCATCTAAAATGATCCAGTATCCGTTGCGCATAGCCTGCACCAAAACGCCCTCCTTGAAGCTCAACTTACCAGTTACATCAGCCACATAGGTGCCAATATATTCTTGTAGATCGGTGTGCTCGTGGTTGTTGATGCGTAAACAGTGATTGCCACTTCGGCGCGCCACGTAATCAATCAAACTGGTTTTACCAGCACTTGTCGGACCCTGCAATAACACAGGCAGTTTGCCAATTGAAATAATACGCGCCAAGTCGCGCAGATTCTCTTTAACACTTTTGGTCAGAATGTAGCTGGCGTACTCTTCGGGCTCTTTGGGTCCTTGTTGTATCCAGTAACCTTCGAAATTCAAATAATTTTCACCTGGTTTTGGTATACCTTGACTAAGTACAGCTTTAGCGTTGCTCAGCAGCGCTTGTTGTATCAATTGCAGGACGATATTGTGTGAAACTGGATCAAGCTGAGTGAGGAAACTCATGCAAAAGCTCTCGTAGAGATTACGTTCAATGGAGCCACACAAGTTTTTGGCGCAAATATGGAGTGAGCGACATAACGTACGCAAGGAGAAAACTGGTCTATTACCAAGGCCATCGTTAAGCTCCAGCTTTGAGAGCAGTTTCAGTTTTTTATACAACTGCACCAAACTTGCGACGCTCTTGCGCTGTATGCCAGTATTCTTCAAATAGTCACTTATGAGCAAAGTCAGATCGACATCGGTAGTTAGTTCGTCTACAAAGAATTCGGTGAAACGATTACGTATGCCAACAGGCAGATCCTTCTTGCCAATATCTGTGTTGGGATTCATGCAAGCTAATATACGAAAGTCGGGATGACGTTTTACAGGCGTAAAATCGCCCCTCTCCAGCAATACAACGGAACCATCGCGTTCCAGAATGGTCGATAGACATTCAAGCATCTCAGCGGAGGCTAAGTTTATTTCGTCCAGCAATATCCAGTCACCATTTTTAATGCAGTTCACCAGAGAGCCCGGTATGAAGGCAAATGATATGTTAATTGATTTACTCAGTTGTGCGAGCAATTTTTGCACATTCACTTTAAGCGTTTGCCAGCGCGGTAGCATAGCCAATTCCTTTTCACGTAACTCGTTGCGTTCAACCTTACCAAATACTGAATTAATAACAGTTTGCATAAGTCTGAGTATAACGTAGAAGTTGCCTTGGTTATAGCAAATCTCCATTTTATGCAAGAAAGTTTGATTTTTATCAACATTGAATGTAGAACGAAAGATAGTATCGAACTCTAAACGCAGTGGCGTTACCACATAAGTTAAATCGACAGGTTTAAAGCCACCTATGAGGTCAGATACATCCGACTGGTTGTTCATATTCACCACAACCAATTTGTGATAGGTACGTTCGGCTAAATACTGCACGGATGATGTTTTGCCAACACCAGTTTCACCCACAAGCAACACGGGCTCAGCATGTGATACGCAAACAGCAATGCGCTCCAAAATACACGAAGCCATTCTGGTGAAGGAAAATGTGGTATTTCTGGCAGCTTTTATAGAGCGTTTCAAGGATATAAGTGCATCATCCAACTTTTGACGCTTAACATCCATTGGTCCATCGTCAGCGGTCTCATCTTCTGTATCATTAGTTTTACAGCTTACTTCATCTTCCACTGATCTTGCTTGCAATTCTGTGCGACCAACTTTTATGCTATTGACATCAACGAACACTTCGGGTTTATAATCTTTAGCAAAGTATTCACAGCGAGACTGTATAATACCCAATTTGGCACCAATGCTTGTAATTAGTTTAGTTTTATTTTCGCCCTGCGGCAAGTATGAGCAGAAAACGTCTACCGCATTTTGAAATACAAAGTAAGCGCATTCGACGCTCGTCACAGAAAATACGGGATTTGAGCGCTGACAGAGCTTGATGAGATCGCGTGTAGACACTAAACGACTAGAGTTTGTCATCGTTGACAGGGAAACTTGCTCAAATGGTAACGCGACGTATTTTTCTGTGGTGTCGGCTTTGTCCCCGGATTCTTGTTGACGTAAATTATCCGCTGCTGTGTGATCACCGCTGGAGAATGTTAGAAATACATCAACTATGCGATTAGCGACCGTGGCTAATCTGGGGTAATTCGTGCTGACCACTTTACAGAGCTCATTACGCGATAGTGGTAAAATATTAATCGTGTAGAGATACTTTTCGAGTAAAGCAAAAAGCGACTTCTGGCCTGCACTGGTTGATGATTTGTTTGTACTGCAAATGCAAAAAATGTTATAGATCTTTTTTTCAACAATATTACGTATATATAATTTTACTAACCGCACAGTAACAAACAACTGAAAACCTGGTTCGATTTTAACACAATCACGAAAGCCTGGTACGCTTAGGTAATTATTTTCCAATAAACTACTTAAAATTGTATAAGTGTCTTGTGTGGCCGAATCCAAGTCTTCTAAGAGCAGCCAATAGCCATTCATAACAGCCTATAAAAGAATTATATAACATTATTAAATTATTAAAGTACATAGAAAATTTTTTAGTACGCACCTGCGTTAACACACCAGGCAGCCATACGAATTCACCAGGCACATCTGTGCAACGATATTGACCCAAAAGCATTTTACTATCAGTTTGATCACCCAGCTGGATGCGCAAGAAACCGTTTGTGTTCATGCCATTGGGGTCTAAATTTTGTTCAAAGTTCTTAGAAATATTCTGTTCATGTTTCCTTTTATAACCAGCTAATAGTTTATCGTTTCCATTTACTACGCCACCATTATTGACAGCACTATTTTCTAAATTATCCAGATTTCGTTGCTCAATTTCGGTAGGTTTCGGATAAATTCGTCCCGTCCTACGTGCCAAATATTCCACAAGTGTGGTCTTACCACAACCTACAGGTCCGGAGAGACAAATAGCTTTGGCGGATGCAATGCCCAAAGCAATACTACGTAAATTAACTTTGGTGGAGTCAACTTTTACAATATTTTCATGCAAAACACCGTCTGAGTTTGTGTAGAATTCGTAATTTTCCTTATTGAAAATATGAAGTAGAACATTTTCAATATCAGTAACCAAATGGGAGTTAATTTTCAAATTAATTATTTTATCTTTGTTGTTATTTTTAAAAGCAGCAGTTTTCATGGTGGGACGCAGATTTCGTTCTTCATCAAACTGTAAGATTGCAGCCGGCGGTAATTGTGCATTCATGACTTGTAAATGTGCAGTGGTCATATTTGTCAGTATGGCAATTATGTGGTTGCAGTAGAGTTGATACAAATCACTTTCCTTAACGCCATCAATGAACTGTTCAATAAATACCGACCAATTCCAGAGATCTTTGAAAAATACAGGGTTTGCGCATAACAGATGATAGCAACATTTCACAATATCTAGCGAAGTTATTTTAACATTATTCTTGGAGCGTTTGATGGAGGTTGTGCCTTCGGTCAGAGTGGAACATTCAAATGGTGCTGGTTTATTACGAAAATAGCTGACAGCATAGCTGAGAAGAATAGGTTAATGTGAGTAAAAAAAATTTTTTTTTTAGAAATTTTCCTAAAAACTTACCGATTTGTGTCTACTGACAAACGCATCATTGTGGACAGAGCAATACATTTCTTTTGATATATCTCATAATTGCTCTCGTCCACGCGCCCATCAATAGGAATACTGCGTGTAATTAGCAATAGCAAAACATACTCAAACGAAGTGGCTATAACAGCAGTCAAAGGTTTCTCTAAAATTCTTTCACTCAAATAGCTGAAAAGTGCCTCCACATCGTTTTCATCAGGATCCTGATATAAGAACAGAAATTATAAATTTTATCAGTAGATGTAAACAAACAAATGCATATTTATTTTTGTTTACATTTTTATTCATGAACGCAAGCAGCACGCTGTCTTCATCAGCTGTTTGCTGCGTCGACTGCAAATGTTGTCGCAACTGTGCCACGGATCTCCGAATTTTGTTTACACTTAACTCCATTGAAAAATTTACAAATTTCACTAAATTCTCTTAAAATTCTATTTAATTTACTTTCTAAGGCACTCTTGCACCCTTTTGTGAAAAATTTTTGGAAAAATATGGATTATTTTTGGCAAAATAACTATAAATTAACGCACGCACTTGAAAACACTACCGACCAAAGCAAAATCGAAAGAAAACATGCGGCTTCGCAAACACGTGTAGTAACGGTGTTGCTTCTTCAATTGGGTAAACTTCAATTTTGGCAATTAGTGTATGAGTGGATTTGGCAACGCTTGTCTTTGACATTTGTGTATGCAGCTGCGCCATTAACAATTAAGAAAATAAACAAATTTATTTTGTTCAGCCGATTTCCGTGTGCGATTTATTTTCTATGGAAATTTAGCCTCTGGATGTGAAATTTTGCTAGATTTATCAACGGTTACTACATAGAACGCACAACATGGCAGATGTGCGTGATATTTTGGATATGGAGCGGGCGAATACGCCTGAAGTGACCCGTGAATCATTTCTCGTACAGAAGCGTAGGAATTTTGAAAAGTAGGTTTTTATTCATTAATTTACAATAATTAGTGAGAAAATTCGCTTTATTAATGCATTTATATAAACTATAGAGCTAAAGGCGTTTCGAAACGGCCGGAGGGTATGCACCGTGAGGTATTCGCTCTGCTGTATAATGACAACAAAGATGCGCCTCCGCTTTTGCCAACGGATACAGGTAGGTTTTTTTTTTACAGTTTTCCTTAAAAAGCACATAATCCCAATTTCTGTTTCTAAAGCTCTTGGTATTGGCGCCGGCTATAAGCAGGCCAAGGCACGCTTGGGTATGAAAAAGGTGCGGAAATGGGAGTGGGCACCCTTCAATAATCCAGCACGCACAGATGGCGCCGTATTTCATCACTGGCGTCGTACTACAGACGATCAAAAAGACTACCCGTTTGCAAAGTTCAATAAACAATTACAAATACCCAGTTATACAATGACTGAGTACAATACACATTTGCGTACAAATGTACAAAAGTGGAATAAAGCACAAACGGATCACTTATTCGATTTAGCTAAACGGTGAGTGATGAATTCATTTTTGGGTAAACATAATGCAATCTGGGTTTTTTTTGATTGTTTGTTTATTTCAGTTTTGACCTTCGTTTCATCGTCATGGCAGATCGTTGGGATCGTGCTCAACATGGGGTCAAATCTGTCGAAGATCTTAAAGAGCGTTACTATGAAGTAGTCGGTCTATTAGCCAAAGCTAAAGGTCCAAATATTGAGAAAAAATCTTTCGCTTTCGATGCAGAGCATGAACGTAAACGTAAGGATCAACTTAAGAAACTATTTGAGCGTACTACGCAACAAGTTGAAGAAGAACAGATGCTTTTGAATGAACTTAAAAAGATTGAGGCTCGCAAGAAGGAACGTGAACGTAAAACACAGGATTTACAAAAACTTATTTCACAAGCGGATCAGGTATGCATTGTACAATTATTAATAATTACAAAGAATTTAAGTAAATACTCTTCCTGATGCAGCAAAGTGATGCTGCCACTAATGTGCCGAGTGCACGCAAATATGAAAAGAAGCTCGTTAAGAAAAAGTTGCATCATCAACCGCGTCCCTCGAAAGTAGATTCTGTTGTAAATGCTATTGAGATTGGTGGCAGCGGCATTAAATTTTCAGATTTACGTGGATCTGGTGTTTCTTTACGCTCACAGAAAATGAAACTGCCAGCTAATATTGGTCAGCGTAAAGTAAAGGCACTGGAGCAAGCAATACAGGAATTTAAAGTTGGTAAGCGATATCAAATTTTTTAACTTTCGACGCGTAGATATTTTTAATTCTCTTTTTTTGGTTAATTTGTGTTTTATTAATTTAAATTTATTTTTTATTTTCTATTTATATATTATATATTTTTTTTTTTCTTATATATTTTTGCATATTGATTTTTTTAATATACGAGTATGTACATATATACAAATATACATATTTATTTATTAATTGAAATATTTTATTTTATTTTATTAATGTTTTTATTAAACTTGGGTTCATATAAACTCACCGCCAAATTTTCTCATATACTTTTTAGATCCTTCTCCACCGCCAACTGAAGAAATTTGCAATGCTTTCAACGAATTACGCTCGGATATGGTTCTGCTGTGCGAGTTGAGAACTGCTTTGTCTACGTGTGTTTATGAGTTGGAGAGCTTAAAACATCAATATGAGGCTGCATGCCCGGGAAAGGTAAGTACTATTACTTTGTTGCTTGAGTTGAGGGAAAAAATTTTGTAATATATATTTTTTATTTTTGCAGACACTAAATATTCCACCATCTCTAATACCAGCTGAGCCCATAAAGCAAGAGTTGATCGAACCCAGCACATCAAGCGCAAACGCAAATACATAAAGCGATTGATTTTATTAAATTAAAAACAAAACGTAATCATGCAATGTCAAGTGTAGTAATTCAATGTCAATAGTAATAATACGAAAAATGTCAGAAAAAAATAAATAAAATTACAGCCTAGTAAACGGTTCATAAACATTAAGAAATTGTTTTCATTCTACGCCTACAAATCTGAGAGATAACCGGTCAAAGTAGGCATAGAGTTGAGAATGCGAAAGTTAAATAAACAAGCTTTATACAACTGCCCATTTACGGTTGCACCATACTTTTATAGCGATGAGTAGACAAACGATGAGATGAGCGGCGAAAAACTTAAGGAAAACTGTGTGAAATCTACTTATTTATTTTATTAGATGGTACTGCATGAGTACGTATTAAAAAAAGTAGACGGGCTTCTTACTAGCTTGAAAATACCAGCAAAGAAATGGGTTATGAGTGTCTCGCAGACTCGTTCGTTCGTTATACCTACAAATAAGGAGTACTTTATCGGTCAAACGCAACGTACATGGAGTGATTGTGACACTTGATGGGAGAATTATGTTCGCCTTCAAATTTGCCCGTAGAAAATATGCCTATTTTTTAAGTTATTCATGAAAAATCAGAGAATGCATATCTCACATTGCGCGTCTAACAGTAACGGGTAATTGAAGGAGTGCGCATGCGCTACTTGCGCATTTCATCAGATTTTTGTACTATTCAAGCTCTTGGCTAACACAATAGATTTGACTTCTAGTCAATGTTGACTTGAACTAAAGATTTTTTTAGCCGCAATTGTCACCTTGTTGGTCATCTCGTCTAACGCAGAGACACATATGTACATTTGTATGTATTAATATATGTATGTATAACACTAGCTACGCCAATGTTTTGTTTAGAATTTGTGGCTATCATCTTTACCGCTTATTTCATTGCTGCTGTCTGTTACGAAAGTTTACGTTTGTTTGAGTTTACTTCATCACAAGTTTCTATTGTCAACAAAGCGTCTATGCGCTAAATTGTATTTTGCGGTAAAGGTGAGACGGCTTCTGGCTTTGACGCGCTTGCACTTGTATAAACAGTGCATATACATACATATATATATATATATATATATATATTATACATATACACATAACTTCGGATTCGGTAGTCGTTTTAATTATTAATATATGTACATATATATGTATGTTTGTATTATGCAGTAAAACAAAAATGGAATAGAGTTGCATGACTTAGATAAAGTGCTTAGAATTATTGGGCTGATTTAAATATAATGGTAAGGTCTTATCTATTCTACTAACATGGCGTAGACTCCATCTAATTCAACCTGAGTTGTGAATAGTAATGGAGATCATCTCCCACTTCTCTTAACACAATCGTTTTTGTGTTTTTTACTGCTTCAAATGGCATTCACTTCAAAACACCGTTTTAGCATTGAAGCTATTACCTTATAAAGAGAGCAAGAGCGCAAGTCGAGTAGAAACCCGTTTGGCTGAATGTTGCAATTGAAGCTTTCCGAGCTCGGTCCTTCTGCGTTGTGTTGAGGTCAAGTCCAGTACTACAGGCAACCATATTTCGGGATCCGGAGAAGTCGATCAGCCTAAGCGATTTTTGTTGTAGTGGCTGAATTTTCCGACTGTTATGTCGAAGATACTTTCTTTGTTCACCCTAGCGTTTCACGAGCATGCTACAGGCGCTAGTAAAATGCATCCTTGGTCACATCCGCTTTCTATTCTGTCTAAGCGTAAATCGACATTATTTAAAAAAAAATGTACTTTGATATATTGTGGTGTTGCAGCCATAAAATATTCTCCGATCTATTTTTTCGGGGAATATTGCGGGAGTGACAGTCCTTGGCCGGATAAAAATCTAGGTATAAAGACCCGAATGTCGTGGGATCTATTGGATTTTAGTCGCCTCTTATGATAGGCATGCCTTAGCTAACGTTGACTATGTTGTTGTTGTTGTTGTAGCGGTATGCTAACCCCGCTTAGGCACAGTCTTAATCAAAATAAGTCGCCGAGGTCATCTAATGGGAGGTCCAGGAAAGGAGCTGTTTCGACGGGGTTAGACAAAAGGGAGAGGGCTATGATGAGAGGTTAGATGAGTTGGTTTGAGAGGGCGTGTGAAGAGGTGGTTAGTGTCGTGCGGAGATTTTCTACATGCAGTGCATACATTGGGTATACGTTGTCTATCGCACTTCCTGTCAGCCTGATGGCTTTAAATCAGTCCTTAATTTGTTTTTTTTTTTTAGCAATCGTCACCGAAAGGGGAATTGGTTCCAAGCACGTTATGCGAGTAGGATTTAATTTTTTATACACCTATTATATTTCCTTTCGTCGGAGTGCCCCTACTAAAGCATCCTCTCTTTTAGCCGTTACAAAAGGCTTCACTCGGGTTGGTCACCGCCAATGGCTATTCACGTTTCCATGGTTCGCGGCGTGAACGCAAGAGTAGGAATTAATAATAATTGGCGTTTTGTAACCGCTGAAGCGATTTTCGGCTGAGCACCTCCTCCAATTTGTAGTTTTTGCGTCTTGATGTTTTTCCATCAGTTTATACTAAGCCACCTCCGAACGGTTGTTGGTTTTTTTTATTTACGAGGAGCCTTCATTTCATATCCGAAATACACTTGGAGGGGTGAACATTACCTGCCGAGGGGCGACCGCAACTAATTTTTAATTTTTTATTTAAATACTCGTACATTTTCTATTATATAATTTTTGGATTTGATCACGGCACTTCCGATTGGCAGTACACAATGCTAACCACTCGGCTACCGCGGCTGCCATTCAAAGAGTCAAGTAAATAGAAACTGTAAACTATTGTTATTATATTAAACTAAGATAAATTCAGCATAAAAGGCTGGGATTAATTATTCAGTTTATGGTTGGTAAATACCATTATAACACCAGTTACTTTGAACCGGTATAAATTTCGCCTACTTTTCACGGATTCATCCCACAAATATCAGTTACTAAACTAGATCTTTCACATCTCACTAACTCTTTTTATTACTAATAAATTTGTGAGAGACAAACTGATTTGATTTATTCCTTTCAGTACAAGAAAATTTCAGTCTCAGTCAACGAGATCCTTTCATTTCAAAATACCGGTTACTAAACTAGAATTTTCACGAACTCGCTTGATCTTAGTTCTGATGAAATCTCGTGTATTGCTAATTCTTTATTTATGATAAACTCGCTTAAACTTAGTCCAGCAACGCTTCGCTGGCGCACATCCTCATTGAATGTTCGAAAAATTAATCATAGGATATAATTTTAACGAAACTTTATTTACTCAATACTTGTGGGAATGGAACATTATTGCTTTTATCAGTGACATTGGTCCAGTTCCCGTAGAGAAGAGTAGTTTTCCTGCTCGTCTAAGCACCCAATTCTAAGTATTGTATATCGAACCATTTTTTTTTTTAAGAATTGTACCTATTTATTGAATCTGCTTCTTTAGCAGGTGCCTCACAATAGGTTTTCAGATCTTAAAAACTAAATAAAAATATAAAAGCACATTAGCTAGAAATGGGCTAAGGGTAGTAAGTCCCTTCTCTTCAGACGCGTTTGACTTGTCGCGGAGGCCAAGGGGATAGCCGAAGGGCTCAGATAATGGTGCATTTTTGCTTTCTACTTTTGTGTAACGATTGCAATCCCTTCCTTGATTGTGCGTATGCTTAGATCTCTATGGATATTTGCATTACGCATGTACTGTGTTGCGCCTTTTATTATTCTTAATTTTTTTTTTTAAATTTTTTCGATTGAAATCGTTGTATTATATCTAGATTTGTCGCGCAAGCTGTAGCCCATAACTGCATTCCATACGTTCATATCGGTTTTATAGTCCCATTATAAAGAAGGACTTTGTTTTTTAGGCTGAGCCAGGATTTCTTGCTTAAAAGCCAATAAAAATTGCAAAATCTATGCTTCAGCTGCATCTTTTTGGCAGAAATGTGTCGCTTCCAAGTTAGTCGTCTATCCAAGTGAACGCCAAGGTATGTGATTTCGTTAGCTTGTGGGCTAGGCACATCGTTGAGCTTGACGATGGGGCACGTTTTGGCCTTAATGTAAGAGTGATGGGCGCGCCATTCTTCAATTGGCTTAAGGTGCTGCTGGAACACTTTTTTGGCTGTATTGGGGCATTTATGCCGTCTTAGTATAGCAGTATCATCCGCAAAAGTTGAAGTAATTACTTTGTCACTTGTAGGAATATCTGCGGTGAACAAAATATACAATATTGGTCCAAGAACACTACCCTGCGGAACACCTGCTCTTAGCCCTTACAATTTTGAGCTTTATTTTCTGAGTTATTTCTTCAAATCCTTGAATTGCTGGTTTTTTTTTTGTACAAGTTTGATAACAGCTTATTCGAATAACGGTTTTGCTTATCTTCGCAAAAAGTAAAACCAAGACGGTTTCATAACACCAATTCAAACAGATATTGATTTTCAATTCAGATAAATAAGCAATTCTGTGTCGGTTTCGATAACATCCCTGTTTAATGCTGTTTTCAAAGCAATTTTCGGCTTAACGCTAACTAGAAGGTTGATGAACTCAAAACTGAATTCTAAATTTTAGTACATAACAGATACAAACATATGCACTTACAAACATACATATGTATTTCCAATTAATATTTTCTTTCGCGAATACAGCGTGTATAGAAAATAAACAAAAATATTCATTTTCCTCTGTCCTATTCTCTCATGTTTTCCTACATAACATTTTTATGCACTATAAGCGCTGAACTATATCAATGTCGCCGTATAACTCGTACAGCTCAACGTTCCATCGTCTGCGATATTCGCCGTGGTACCTTCTCTATTCAGCTCTGAAGCGCTTATTATTTTCTCCAACATCAAATTGAAGAAATCACACGACAAGGAGTCACCCTGCCTGAAACCTCGTTTGGTATCGAACGGCTCGGAGAGGTCCTTCTCTATTCTGCCTGCGCTTCTAGTGTTGTCTAGCGTCAGCTAACACAGCCGTATACGTTTTACGGGGATATCAAATTCAGACATAACGGCATAGAGGCAGCTCTTATTCGTGCTGTCGAAGACTGCTTTAAAATCGACGAAGAGGTGGTGTGTGTTGATCCTCTTTTCACGGGTCTTTTCCAAGATTTGGCGCATGATGAATATCTGGTCAATGGTTGACTTACTAGGTCTGAAGCCACACTGATAAGGTCCAATCAGTTTGTTGACGGTGGGCTTCAGTCTTTCACACAATACGCTCCACAGGACCTTTAAGCCGATATTAAGGACGCTTATGTCGCAATAATTGGTGCAGACTGTGGGGTACTCTTTTTTATGGATTGGGCAGAGCACACTTAAATTCCAATCGTCTGGCATACTTTTGTCCAACCATATTCTGCAAAGTAGCTGATGCAGGCACCTTGTCAGCTGCTTAACGCCATTTTTCAATAATTCTTCCATTAGGCCATCAGCTCCAGCCGCCTTGTTGGTTTTTAAGCGGGCAAATGCTATGCGAACTTCTCCATGGTCAGGTAATGGAACGTTTTTCCATCGTCAACGATTGGGGTTTCGGGTTCCGGATTCTCCGGATTCTCCACTTTCACTACTATTCAGGAGAAGTGTCCATAAATTCAATACACTCTGGGCATCGATGGCTAGATCACCTCTTTGTGTCCTACAAGAGTCTGCTCCGGTCTTGAAACCTTCCGTAAGTCGTCGTATCTTCTCGTAGAATTTTCGAACGCTACCCTTGTCGGCCAGCTTCTCAAGCTCTTCATACTCACGCATATCGGCCTCTTTCTTTTTCTGTCTGCTGAACAATTAAAGTTAATTAAAATAGAAAATCAACCAATGTCTAGATCTCAATCAGAACCCAGGCCCAATATTGCTGAACATCCAGAAGTATATCTCCAACTTTCCCTCGTGTGACACTGAAACACCTTATGGTGGATACGATGAGAGGTACCCTTTCCGAGACCTGTTCAGTGCCGTATATATAAACCACCCCCTGCTATCTCCAGATCAAAAGTTATACCACCTCCGGTATAAAACAAGAGGCCCAGCAGGAGATATAGTATAAACGATTCGCTCTAACTTACGAAAACTTTCAATTGGCTGGGGATCTTCTCCACTCCCGATATGAAAACAAGCGCCAATTAGTCGATAATCAGATCACGACATTATTGGACTTACCAAAAGCGTAAAAAGAATAAGGTGCGGAGTTTATTGATTTCTACTCAACAATCACAAGTTTCTTATCAGTGATCAAAATTCTCGGGTCATCCACTGATAGCTGGGACCTAATTCTGGTTAATATATTCTCATCCGCAGAACCAGAAAATTCTCTAATGCTATGGGGGCGATCTCTTTTATCCAGAGCAATGCCCAACATGGCAACAAATGAAAACTGTGATGATCCCCACAGACCATACCTCCCAATCGGTCAGCATAAATAACATACAAGCGCACTGCTCAATTTACGAGCAGATGTACTCATTGCACATCCTGATTGCTCCAAAATCAGGATTTTCCTAAAGACGCCAAACAAATATGTTCTACAAGCACCGGAGACTTCATCAAAATACAAATAAACTAAATATTAATAAATTAAAAATTAAGGAAAAGCACTTTCGACTTTTTCTTTCCAGGAAACGGACAACCATATCGGATCACGACCTTACATCCAAAGAAATCCCGCCGAAGTCCAGAACGCAATAGTAGCGGAAATAGCCTGAAGAACCATCGAGGGAAACAATACCATACACGGCCCCCATACATCCAACTGGTCTAATTTAGCACTTCGTGCAGGGCGGCCCAATATGTTTAAGCGTGCGCCTAACACAACATCAACGTTGCCAAAAACCCATATATTCTGTACGCATCTCAATGCAGTCACATTGCAACAAATATTTTATGAGCTGTGAAAAGCCTGCAGAAGGCGAGATTTCTATCAAACGAGTTGGTGAGCGCGCACGGGGCGATATCTAAAATAAATTTAATTAATATTTTTATATACTTCCTATATACAAGCTTAAAACACATACGGTGTATTTACTTAACTTAAAAAAAAAAAAAAAAAAAAAAAAAAAAAAAAGACATTTGTTAAAATTAAATTGAAAACGCGAGTTGTTTCATTTCGAAAGGCTTACGAAGGGACCCTCGCATAAACAAGTAGTATTTTCATTTCTCAGATATGAACTTGAATTTTTGCATATTATCTGTACGGTGTATGGGCATTAAATATATACATACATATGTATGGGTGTACATATAAGTATAAATAAATTATTATGTAAATCGAAATCTTTAAGCTCATCGGCAAACAATTGAACTCTTAATTAACACATTTAGTAAATGATTTTTGAATTGCAAATAAATGCAAAATAGTCTTTACTCACATACAGTATGTCAATTAATTGTTTGCAAAATGAAAAAATTACAAAAATCTCTTTTCAATTTTTATTTTATAAATGAAAGGATTTTATTTTCCTATTTTTTATTAATTGGTATTGTTAATATAAGTATTCTTAACATATATCACTCGCAGAAATAACAAACATTAAAACCTAACGGTAAAAAAATAGAAAAATTTAAAATTCACCAAATATTACGTTGCCGATTAATTCTTTTCAAAATGTCCACACAATTCTATATAAAACATAGATAACTTAACGGTACCACAAATTTGAAAACGATTGAACGCGTGCGTCATAGCTACGAACTGCTCTATTACATTCAATTCGATTAATGCTTTGGACAGTTCAGATCGTGTTGATTAAGCGCTTTTAACAGTGCCTGGCAAGCGACCTAATGAAAATCTTTTTCAAATAGTTTATTTTAACTACCACAAAGGGAAATAGGTTAAGGAATTAGCGGAAGTGTTTTCCATCAAGCTTAGAATGATTTTTAATATTATTAAGCGCGCAGAAAAAGAATAATAAAAGATTGAAGTTAAAGCACTCTGGAGGTAGACCACCGAAACCTTCTAGCGCGATCATTCAAAAATTTCAAAGCAGATCAGTGATAATCCTCAAATCACCTTGAGAAAATTGGCTTTAGATATTAAAAATGTTTGCCATAAAATAGTAAGTCACAGGACAATCCGAAAAGTCTTAGTCGCAAGTAGTCAATATTGAGAAGCGGCTAAACTTTTATATTACCAATGTTAACTGGACTGCAGAGTACTGGGATGACGTTATTTTTTCGACGAGACAAAAATAATGTTTTACTATTATGATGGACCCAGTAAAGATAAGAGAAACCCCAACACAGCTTTGCAACAGAAAAATATAATTTCAACAGTAAAATTTTATAAGCTTTCTGGAATGGTTTTGGGTTAAATTTAGTCGAAATGTGTTGGTGAGCTCCGAATTTTTAATGACGTGATGACGACATTCTAAAGAACGAATTGTCAAGGAAAACCCTAATAAGTAATAGGAACCCCAACACAGCTTTGCAACAGAAAAATATAATTTCAACAGTAAAATTTTATAAGCTTTCTGGAATGGTTTTGGGTAAAATTTAGTCGAAATGTGTTGGTGAGCTCCGAATTTTTAATGACGTGATGACGACATTCTAAAGAACGAATTGTCAAGGAAAACCCTAATAAGTACAGGAACAAACTGTACCAGGACAACGATACCAAACCTAAATCATTGCTGGGCAGGACGTGGCTTCTATATAATTGCAGTAAAGTGATTGACACTCCTACCCAGAGCCCTGACTTAAGCGCTATAAAAAATTAGAAAAACTAATAAAAAAGCTCTTCTTAAGGTCATTCCAGAGGAGTGGAACAAAATTATGACTTATACAACCATATTCAGTCCGTGCTCCGTCATCCTCTAGCTGTTATGTATGCAAGTGGCCATCATACCAAATATTAGTACCAACACTGCTATATTTTCCCAATTTTTATTACATTTGCAATAATTGTTTACAAAATGCAAACAATTAATTGACATACTGTAATTACATATACGTACATATGTACGTATATGAATAGCTAGCACATTAGCACTTTCATTCAGAATTAATCTTTGCTATACAATAGCATTATTGACAACAAAAAAAGTGAAATAAAAAAATAGAACTAAAAAATTAGCACAAATTCATTTTTAAACCTATTTTATAGTATCAGCGTATATATGCTATATGTATGTGTGTAGACAGTTATATGATATATATATATATATATATATATCTAAATATATGCATATAATAGGCACATTAACTCATAACTACCCAGTTGACGCATAAACTGCTATACATATATTAACTAAAATAAATATTTTACTCCTTTTGTTTACTTTCCAGCCAACTGCTGCCTACACATTGACTTGACTCAGTTTACTCACCGCTGAGAGTCAACATATTCATGCCAACTGCAGACACAGCTCACGAGCGCTACAACGCGTCTGAACAAGTTCGCTGTATACTCGTTGCTTTGGACTCATCGGTTGACTGCGTCTGTTTTTGTGAATGAATTCATTGAGACGAATGTGCGAACGTAGGTTTATCAAGCACGACCAAACCAACAGAAAGCAACAACTGCACAGAAAGTGGTGATCATGCAATCAGCCAGGCGAGTTGTTTGTTAAGTTTTTTTTTTATAATTTTTTGTTGTTCTACTACAATAATTGTACAACAGCTGCCGGTAGTCAGTCACAAGCCAAAAGGCAACAGCTAGCAGTCAAAAGCCTAGAGCCGCCACCAGCCACCAGTCAGTCAGTCACTCAGTCACTACTACAAATGCATGCATGTACATATGTAAGTGCATGTAGGCGCAACAACACAACCAACCGTCAGCCAACTCACAGACCAAGCCCACATGTTGCCTGCTGTTGTGCTCAGTTGAGTTTCGGTTTGCGCGCTGACGAGTCTATGAAAACGGAAAATCGCCGAATTTTTGTTTGGTGTTTGTTTTGAGGAAAAGTTATAAGCAGTGGAGTGTCGGTGGAAAAGCTTTTCGAGTGTGTGAAATGTAGTTTTGTTTCGGCATATTCGAAATAATGTAATTTATAAAAATTTAATTATTTTAATTTCTAACTAGACCGAGTTCGTAGCTTAAGTCTTTTGTTTGAATACCACATATTAAATTAACAAAACTACAAATGCAATACAATACAAAAAAAAACAAAATGCAATAAATGAAATCAGAAATCTAAAAAAATATGAAATATCATAAAATAAAATAAACAAATAAAATAATATAATATAAAAAAATATAAAATAGAAAAATATAAAAAAAAAACAAAATACAATAAAATAAAATGAAATAAATTAAATCAAAATAAAATATCTTAAATAAAATAAGACACAACAAAACAAACGAAATAAAATAAAACAAAACAAAAGAAAATTGTAAAGAGAGAAAAATAAATAAAATAAAATATATCAAAAAGAAACTAAAATAAATTAAAGCAAATTAAAGAAAAAAGGTATAAAAAAGGTAAATAAAAACAAATACAATACACTCAAATATAATGAAATAAAAAAATCTGAGAAAATGAGATATCATGAAATAAAACTAAATAAACGAAGTAAAATAATATAATATAAAAAAATATTAAAAAAAAATTAATGAAATAAAACAAAATACAATTAGCTAAAATAAATTAAAATTAAAAAAAAAAACAATGTAAAACAAAATAAAATAAAGTTAATATTTTAATATGAAATAAAATAAAATGAAAAACTAAATAAACGAAAATAAATAAAGTAATATAAAACAATATAAAATAAATTAAAACGTAACATAATAAAATAAAATAATAAATATTCATATGAAATTTTAACATTATAGAATAAAGAAAACACATTTTAGTCAAATGAAATATAGAGAAACCTTATAAGATTAAAATTTGGCTCTTATTAAGAACATAAATAATTTGCAATTTCGATATTATTTTTAATTCTTTACATTTTGTTATTATTTTGAAACGAAAAAAAGTAAGAACAAAGCAGGCAGCAGGATATATCCACAAATGAAATAAATATCAAATAAAAAGCATAAATAATAACTAAAAAAAAAACGAAATAAAAAATTTGACAAAAAATATTTATTCAATTACATTGCAGACAGATATCCGTTTCCGGCACATTGTTCTATTTGCATGTAAAGATGTGTGTATGCGTGCGTGTGATCGTCGTCCACATTTTAATGAATGAATCAGCAGTAAGTGCCTACAAGACTGAATGATTAAACAAAACCACGCAAGGGCAAAAAAAGAGCGACAAAGGAAGGACTGTTTCAAAGAAAACATACCCAATTACAAACGTACTCTACTACAACTACGAAAAAGGCAATAAAAACTATTTTCATTAACGAATTTCATTTACCTGCCAGGCAAAAGCAATTTGAAATGCTTATCTCTTGCCGCACCGTGACGCCGGTATGAAAGGACAAAGGGAACCGTAAAAATAAACACAATAATACAAGTGCATTTACACACATTAGTCATATAGAAATACATACACACATGCGCCTATTGTTGGTCTGTTGCGCAAATAAGGAAGTGTTCTACTATGTAAAAAAGATAAAAGTGCGCATTTTGAAGTGAAAGATAAGATATTTATTACAGCAAATCGCTTAGAGTGTACAAAGAACACGTACAAAAATTGCATACAAAAAAAAAATAAAAATTAAAATTAAAAATATAAGTAAGTTCCAAATATATTTTGCTCACTCAGTTTTGTGTACTTTATTCATTGTTGTTGTCACCAAACAATTTTCCGATTTTGCTGTTACTTAGCTATACAAATAAAAGTCTATTTGTATAGCTCATAGATAAGCTGAAAATAAGTAAAAAATATTCATTACATACTTACATTCATTCATTCACTCCGCTGAGAAAGTGTACCAAGCAATCTACATAAGTGTAAAGCAGTTTTATTGCTGGTTGTAAAACTCAACGGCCTTAAGCAGCAACAACACCTCATCATGGCAGCTGATATACGAGCAATGACTTTTTCTAGGTAAGTGAAGAGAGTGTTTTTTATGGACTTTACTTACATTTGACCATAAAAATTCAATAAACATAGATTTCGGGCACAGAAGTTAACGAGTCCATGAGAAAATAGAAGAAATGGCATTTGGTGATAAGTTTTTACATAGAAATTCTACTTTCTGGCCATCAATTAGCCAGTTATGCCCATCAGATTTTTTTCAGAATTTTTGAAAACCTAAAATTTATTTCTCCAAAGAAATAATTAGAAAGGTTCTTTTACACAAGTCTTCATTTAAAACTTATTGATTTCTTATATCTTTTACTAGATAATATTTAAAAATATATTTAATAAAGAATTTTGTTCCAGTATCAATCAGTATATTTTCTTTGCATCTTATTTATAATGAAATTGTTTTTTTTTGTAACTTTGAATTGGTTGTTCCAACGTTCCATTTATATTCGGTCTGGAGTTCATTAATAAATTTTGAAAATTTTATAATTTAGCTACAGTTAAATGAACTTTCAGCTCAAACAAATTTTATATGACATTCTATAGGTAAAGAAAATATGATTATTCTTGATTGAACATAATGTTAATTCATTTCAATAAGCTTTCTTAAGGGGTTACATTCAGTCTTGAAACTTCAAAAAATTCATTTTTTTGAACATTTTTTGCACAAAAGTACAAAGTGTCAGGAGTATTTTCCCCATGTTTCAAGTCGATCGAGCCGAAACTGTAGAAATTAGAGAGTTTTATAACAAAGATATCATGGCCTGACCCTTGGAGAAACTTTAAACGCGTTTTTCTTAAAACCACTTTATCGAAATCGGTAGTCAAAATTTCTCAACAACTATTGAAGTGATCGATTTCCAATTTTCCACACTTCTTTTAAGCACGTTCGTTTGTAGTCCCTAAATGAAGGATTTATTTTATCTTTGATTTCAACTCAATTTGTGGCCTAATTTATCCAAAAATGACGTTTTTGGTAAAAAAAAGCGCTACAAAAAATTCAATAATTAATTTTTTTAATTTTTCTTCATTCAAGTACAAGTAAAATTCACCTACTTTATCCGAAAATTTGGATTTTTGATTTCAGATAAAAATTTAAGAAGTTATCTTGACTACCGCGGAAGCACTTTCTTATGGACGGTCTACTTCACGACTCTGCCAACGCCTTAACTTATAATATTTTTCAATCAAATTTTCATCAAATGTTGTCCCCATATTGGACTTTTATATGTAAACAAAATAAATTGTATAATTTATTTAGTATCTTTTAAAAAAATTAGAGAAAACACTTATGCCGGCTTCAGGGAGGTAAAGAGATAGTAATCTAAAGGTATTAGATCAGGGGAATGCGCGGGATGGTTAAGGACATGCCATTTAAATGAGCCGAGCAATTCCATTATGGCGTTGGCTGTGTGTGGTCTGGCGTTGCCGTACAGCACGCAGGCTGTTTTATGAGCATCCTCTTATTCCGAATCATCCCCCGCAGTTTTATTAAAGTCATTCTGCACGTACTAACCACGAACCGGTCTCGATGCACAGGGAAAAATGGAAGAAGTATGGCACCACTTACCTCCGGTAATGAGAGCCTCTGCAGACTACAGACTAAGTTTCTGGATATGCCTTGTAATTCAGCGAGTTAGGAGACTGCGGCTTTGGTGGCTAAGTCTTGTCGCCTTGATGAATGCAAATATTCCAGATTTCAAAAGTATAGGTTGTGCAGAAATTCAAGGCGCAAAAAACAATTTGGAACCACATGAAATAGGCTGGATATACAAATCTCGACTTGAATAAACGAGAAAAAACCGCATTGTAACAAAATCGACCCATTCTGTAGCATATGTGGCCCAGTGATCACTCACAACAAAAGAGAGAGAGTAGTGAGCCGGTATGCCAGTATTGACGGTCAGGAAGATTTTGCTTTGTGTTTAATGGTGTTGGCAAGAAATCATTCAGTATAGGCTACCATCCAAAACTCTTATTTGGGACCTATAGTGTCAGCGATAAAAACGTTTATAGGAAGGAATCAGCCTGAAGCGGTATAGTGTTTCATCGGGATAACTCCAGGCCACACATAACGATAGTAACTCACCAGTAGCTCTGGGAGCTGGGTTGGGAGGTTCTTTTGCAGCGGACCGTGTAGTACGGAACTCGCATCGTTTGATGACCAATCTGTTCCTGTCTATGGCGTACGAATTGGCTGGTGAAGAATTGGCCTCAAGAGAAGCCTGTAAAAATCGGGAGGCTCATAATGATATTACCTTCCAAATGGTAAGAAGTTATCAAGGGAAAAGACTATGGTAAAAAAGGCCTTCAAACTTAATGCTTAAATAATGGATTACTTTTTACTATGCAAATATTATAAATTTTATAGGCTATTGGCCTCTACATATGAGAAACGTTAGAGTGATTTTTTAAGAGAAATTGTAACAAGCTAAAGCAGCCAGAAATAATTATTATTATAAAAAAATTTAAAATCGAAAAAAACTTTGAAAAAAGTTTCAAAATAATTTTTCAAGTTGTGTTTGGCTTCAATACCGCATTTATTAAATGAAATTTGATACTTTTAATTTGCTATTATTTTTTTTAAATATCAAAATTTAAATTTTCTATTGTTAATTATAACGATTTGAATTATAATAAATTTTTTTTTGTTTTTTTTTTTTTAATTTTTCAACTCGACTTCACCACGCGTACTTATCAGCATTGCAAATGTACATATGAACATACCCGTGCTCTGTAGCTAAGAATGCGCGTTAATTGCGTGTAAAAATTTACTTAAATTGTTGTTTGTTCTCTATATCAAACAACAACAACAACAACAACATCAAGAACAACGTTCGCAAAAATCTCCCAAGCGTAGGTTGAATAAACTCAAAAGACTGAGTCAGTTTGCTATTTTTATACGACTTGTGCATAGTAACATTCATATGTATTGTATATACAAATATGTTTTATATATGGAATCTGCACACCGAACGCCAGACCAGCTGACAAACTTAGAGCAAATTCTGCCTTTGTACTATTTCGCTATTCAATTTAAAATGTAAATTCACTGCAATACAAAAGAAAGTCAGTTAGTCATACAAACATACTATACTTAGGAATAGAGGTAAGCAGCATGCCACTCTTTAGTGCCCTGGTGCTGTGTGCTTGCAGTGTTGCTACAATTAGCATGAAGACCGGCGTGAAAACAATAATAAAAACTAAATCAAACCAAGCACGCCAAAAAGGTGAACGCTGAACGCTAGAAATTCATACATACAAACATGCATTTCTATGAACTCTAGCGCACTTGCAGCGCAATGGAAGTATGTGAGAGGTCATTATGAGGTGTGAATTTTCTTTAGATTGGAAACTCTCTTTTACTGTTACTCTCAAATTTTCTTCATCGAATTTTCTTGTGGCTATTTTCACTCAAGTGCCAAGAATAACGCCAATCGCTAACGAATGAAGCGCATTATGGACCACACAACACCATACAACAATACAACGAACGCCAATGGTAAAGTGAGTCAAAGTCAGAGCGTCATTTATAGCAGCCACTGTCGCTAACCCAGCTTAAGTAAATGACAAATATTTAGCTTAATGTTACCGAAAAAATCTTTAAAAAATGTTTGTCAAGTGCTTGAAGTAGTCTTGCATGTGTACGTATGTGCGTGTGTGTGTGTGAAGCGAAGGTAAACCTGCTGCAGAACAGCAAAACTCATAGCATAGCACAGCCACAGCTAAAGGCATCAGCATTGCCAACATCATCAGTGAGTCTGCGCGGCAGCCCAGCAATAAACCGAATTTGAGAAATAATTAAAAAAAAAAATTGTGTTTACCCACATGTGGGCGTTCAGGTGGGTAGATGTTGAGCTCGTAAAACGTTGGCTGCTGTTTCGTTTTCTGTTTTTCTGTTTCGTTTTTCTCCCTTTTCTTTTTCTTTGCGCAAATAAACCTACGAATACAAAACGACAATGAGAAGCACAAAAGACTTAAGACACAAACGCAGTTGCGTTGTGTGGCGGGTTAAGTCAGCAGCGCGGCATGTTGTCATTCGTAAGATATAAATAAGTAAATAAATAAATAAAGTGGAGAATAAAAATAAAAAGGCCGAAAATAATAGCTTTCAGTAGCGCATTAAAGCTTGAGAATTCAAAAAAAATAAAAAAAAATAAAAATAAGAGAGAATTGAGCAAATATATGAAGGCCAAAGAATGACTGCTAATATTGTAGTAGTAAATATACATATCTATATATATATGTCTATGAGTACATACACATAAACTTTGTTTATATATCGTCTATACAAACAACAATTTGTATGTAAAGGTTTAAACTTACAATTAGTACAAATCTGTTATTATTCTCCATGAATTCTTCTTTTTCATATTAGAATTTTTAAAATGAAAATAATAATTAAAAATTATTAACACTTTTTGTGTAAAAAATTAATAACTTGATTAGTTGGTCTGATCGCAAATAATAATAAAATATAATTATTTTATTTTTCACTTTATACTCATTAATTAAGCCTTTGCTTATAATTAAATTGAATTAAAATATATATAATATATATATATATATATATATATATTACATATCACTCAGCTTCAACAAGAATGCCCTAAAAAACGAAATAAATAAAGTTAATCGGCAGCTCATGTCGCAACACTGGCAAAGTAAAAATCATCATTATAAATGCATCAACCCAAATTTAGTTCCTCCAATCTTCCCTGCAACAATTTCTAGGCGAAACACAGTAATATACACTCCCTTTGGTCACACTCGCATCACCCTCAGACTTGCCAGTTCTGTAACGAAGAAATCCTTACCATCGAACACATCATTTCTAACTGTGTAGCATTGCACCCAACAAGACAATCAACACCAAATAATACAATCAAACAAACTCTAACCGTAGTAAACGAAGAAAACATAAAAAAATTTATATGATTTATAATCAAAACAAATTTGTACTTTGAAATTTAATGTAAACTTATTAATGATAACGTAAAAAAACCAATGGCCTAGTT